TCCCTAGTGATGTACAATATATGGTGACCTCTGGTCTCCATATTCATATACAACTTTATGTGACCTCTGCTTTCCCTAATGATGTACAATATCAGGGGACCCCTGGTCACCGTATTCATAAAAAAAATCTTTGTGACCTCTGGTCCCCCTTACGATGTATAATATTAGGTGACCTCTGGTCTCCGTATTCATAAAAAAAAAAAACTTATTGTGACCCCTGATCTCTTTAACGATGTACAATGTCAGGTGACCTCTGGTCTCCGTATTCTTATACAACTTTTGGACTTGTACAACTTTTTTAATCATTAGGAGACCAGGGGTCACATAAAAATGTATATGAATACGGAGGCTAGAGGTTGCTCCATATTGTACATCACTAAAGAGGGCAGGAGTCATATAAAGTTGTATTTGAATGTAGAGACTAGAGGTCACCTTATATTGTGCGTCATTTGGGAGATTAGAGGTCACATAAAGTTTAATATTAATACGGAGACTAGAGTTCCCTATAAATTGTACATCTTTACAGATAGCAAAATTCACATTAAGTTGTATACGGAGACCAAAGTTTTCCTCTGTTGTATATCGTTAGGGAGACCAGGGGTCACCTTATATTGTACATCCTTAGGGAGACCAGAGGTCACCTTATATTTCTATTATTAGATAGACAAGAGGTCACCTTATATCGTACATCATTTCGGAAACCAAAGGTCACCTTATATTTTACATTATTAGGGGGACCAGATATCACCTTATATTTTATATTATTAGGGGGACCAGAGGTCATCTTATATTGTACATCATTAGGGAGACCAGATATCACCTTATATTTTACATTAGTAGGGGGACCAGAGGTCATCTTATATTGTACATCATTAGGGAGACCAGAGATCACCCTATATTGTACATTATTAGGAAGACCAGAGATCATATAAAGTTGTATGTAAATGCGGAGTACAGATGTCGCTTTATATTTTACATTATTAGGGAGACCAGTTGTCAACTTATGCTGTAGAACATTAAGTAGACAAAAGGTCACCTAATGTTGTAAGGAGAAAATAGGTTAAAATGTGATATATGAAGAATTACTTCCCAAGCTCAGACTCAGATTTTGAGGACAAGCAAAAACAAATTCTCAATTTTCACTAAATGTATTTTGTCGGAATGGAGTGCGAGTTTGGGCAATTTTTTTGTCTTCATACATATGATATATATGTATATGATTCTTAGAAGCAATTTCCAAGGGGTTCGTGTTTTCTAAGTCTATTTTTGATAAGTTTCTTTTTGGTTAGTTTTGTTTCCCATTTGCAGACCTGGCGGGGGTAGTGATTAGAGCTCAGCATCTCCCTTCCATTAAATTTTCACTCATCACATACAAGAGGGACACCTGTTTTGTAATATCAATAAGGAAACCAGAGGTATATTGACAAGGTCGCCTTTTGTGGTTTGATATATCATTTTGGAGACCAGAGGTCATTTAACGTAATTTATTACTAAATCATTATACCATTATCTTAAATTATCAGTAAAATTTCCAAGAGGGCATGAACTACTCCCCCTCCAATCCTGTTAGATCTGCGCTTGCAATGACAAAAGGTCACCTACTCTGATATATTAACAAGGAGACCAAAGGTTAACTATAGTGTGTTACTTTCATATGGTCGCGTAACGTGGTTTTTTTTTATTAGGGAGACCACGGGTCACCTAACGTAATTCATTACTATGTAACTTATATCATATATATCTTAAAATATAACCGTACGCGTCATTATTGCTTGCTTTACCCCCCTCCCCCTTTCGTATCTTTCCTAACATCAGATGATTATTCTTAAAAGAAATTAATTTTCTGTATGTTGTAATACATTTGTAAATGCTTCCCAGAAGAATGATTTATTCTACTTTCATTTTGCGATTGCAGTGTACTATATTTTGTAGCGGAGTAACAGGTTAGATAGTTGTGAATGAGCAGGTGAACGTAAGCCCAAGTTACTATTATTAATCATATTCATATGGGGTGGGGCACAAGTTAAAAACGGACCTTTAAATAAAAAAAAACACAATTACTAAACACAAAACATGATAAATAACAACAACGAAAAATCATCAAAAGTCTTTCATTTGAAAGGCAAATAACCATGATTTATCAATAATTTCGAACATTCCTTGTACATTAGATGAACAATTTTGCATGATAAAAAGAACACTCTTGAGTCAAATCTTTAAATTCAAGGCTTCTGAGCATTTGAAATTGATGCAAACTTTCTAATCCACACAAACATTTATTTGTGTTTATTTGTGTTTTAAGGGCAGGTCATTCTCTTTTGATGTTTCTGTTTTTTTTAATGTCCCTTCGAAAAATTTTCCATCATATTGAGACGCCACCGCTTGCCGGTGGAGGACTGCAAATTTAGACCTCCATTCCACACTTTAAGGTGAAAGATCTTTTTCGTGCCAGTACCTACTGTGACATGGGACCTAGGTTTATACGATCTCATCCCGAAGGACTGTTCTACACGTCCCGCAGTAAAATTCGAACCCATGACGTAACGGTTAACTCCTTAAACCTCGACTCTAGAGGAAAAAACTCTTAACCATTGCGCCACTCGGGCGACCTCTTTTGAGGTCATAATATTAACCCGAATGCATCATACTGTGGTAGTTGTACTTTTTTAAGGATATTTATTTTAATTAATAGTGAACATTATTCTCATTTATTATTTTATTCATTTATTCATTCACTCATTCATTCAGCGCTGCGCAATGCTATGTACTAACACTCTATGTTGTCTTTGTTCAGTGTCTGTTATAAACCTAAACACCCCTATTTTAAAAAAAATGTTGCATTCCAGGTAGACTACCAGGTATTGTAGGAAATGAGTTATTCCATTATTGACTGTTACATTGATTTCTATTGATCAGTGTGGTTTCATGATTTTTTTTTTTCCTTTGAGAACTGGTTTTGAAGGGTGTGAAGCTTTATACACGTAGATATACATATTCTATAGTGCTGGAAACTACCCTTATTCCTGTAAGTAGACTTAATAAATAATTAAACTATTAAATAAGCACCTAAATAATTTCTTTATGAATGAGGAATCTAAATAATTTATTTTAATCTTAACTTGCTAAATCAAGTGTGATTGTTTGAAAGATATGTATAAATTGATAAAATATGTACGTACAAAAGTTATAATTGCAAGTTAACATTTTAATTTATTCATGCATCCTAAATAAGGGATTTGTGAATTTGTTGTAATTTTAAATAATTGTTAATTAGGCCATTCACGTATTCATATGGAGCTGAACCGAGATAGATATAGGAATCACCTGGTTCCATAAACTGGTATGTGATGATATTGGATTAATATAAATCTTATAATTAATGTAAATATTACTTATGAGATATTTCTACAAAGTAGGAATAGAAATATAATAGTTATAAAAGCAGCGCTATAAGTTTATCAATTATCTGGGTGATGTGCGACCTAAGTATTTTAAATATTAAATGAGGTGTAAATGTAAATGGCCTATAATTAATTGTGTTAAAATGTGTTTATTTGTTTTGTATTGTTTTGTGTATGTCTTTGTGTGCTTATTTGTTGTAATTATTGTAGGGTGTATATATACACTGTTCCTAACGATCCTGAAATACATGTACCAAATACAATATTGGATCCACACCCCAAACCGTCTTTATTTTTGTTTATCAACCCAAGAAACGGTTACAATACCAGCTGTGATTTACTCTTTAATTGACTATTTTTTGTTATATTTAAGGATTCGATCGAATATTCTTCACAAAATGCATTAAAAAAGATTATTTTTAAAATAAGGTAACAAAATCTGGCTTAGCATTTGTTCAAATATATATCTAAAATCTGCCAAATTCTCTTAGATAAATTCATATCCAGCTACAAAATATCAAGTATTCTCAGAATAATAATTAATCATTTAATTCATGTCTTTTTTTTCTCTTTGATTTATATGAAGCCTTGAATGAATTTATCTGAAATTGAATTTGCATGAACAGTATCGGTCTGTACCACCAACCTGAAGAAACACTGCGTAGAAGCACACACTCAAAGTTATAATCCACAGTAATCAAAAGTTAAAATTAAAAGTTATCACCTGCACTAAAAATTATTACCTACACTATAGGAACTATGACGCCATATCTCAAAGTTATCATCCACACTATTAGAACTATTACCCACAGTCTCAATAGTATTATCCACGCTATCAATGATATCGACATAGTCCAACTGTGTATAGAAACTTTTTAAAGAAATTTTGTTGAAAGAATTAGATAGGTAACACGGTCAGTATGCAATACCATGTTCTTACAAAATAATTTTGCAAATGACCATTAACAAGAATTTTTAACAGTTCCTTGGAGTTTTCAAGTATCCACATCCTGTAACACCATTCCTCAAATATGTTGTAGTATAGTATTCCTGAAGTTTCTCTTTCACTACTTTTTAAAATTTAGTGTAAAGAGAAGAAAAAGGCTTGATAGTATATTAACTGGAACCCGCTATGTATCTTTGTTTGGAAGAAACAATTGAGGAATATCTATAGGAAATACAGGGTGTAGACTTATACTTAACATATGTTGGAAGGCAAGACTGAACCTTTTTTAAGACTAAGAATCTTACTTATGTTTACAGTGTCTATTCCTTTGTTTGCAAATTTAAATTTCAAGGAAGCGACGGATTGAATCGTAATTATTATCTTTTGACACACGTGTTAAAGTAGGAAATAATGCAGGCACACGATATTAAATAATAGACTCATATTTCTTGGAAATATGATTATTTAATAAAAAATAACACAAAAGCTAGACACATGTGTCCGTGTATATTAATAGGAAACGGCCTACTCAGAGATTTATTTTAAAGGAAGGAAGAATATTTCTGTATCAAAATTCCTATATCATAATTTTGTTTATTCAAAGGCTCTTGTAAAGGAAAACAGCGAAAATTTCTTTGCTTCAAATTTCAGAGATGGCGGATGCAGAGACTTTGTCAGAGGAATATTCGAAACAGCTTCTCCCCAACACAATTGTACAACTGATTGCAGCTACCTTCGGCATACTTGGAAATTGTCTTGTTATTTTGATGTACACTAAATACGTTAAAGACAAGATGGGTTCCAGATATTTTATACCAGTTCTTGCTGTTGTCGATCTGGTCGGATCTGTGTCGAATGCTACTCAGTTTCATTTGGATAACACGATGCGTTACATCTACCCTGATGTATTTTTGTGTAAAATGATGTCTTTTTTAATCGTATTTACCGGCGGATTTTCTGCTCATCTGATCCTTGCTATTGCATTGCAGAGATATTTGATCATCTGTCGTCCGTTCGGTCAACAAATGACTCAAAAATTGTGCAGAATTGCCGTCTTGATCATATTTCTGATTTCAGTGGGATATGCCTCTCCAATTTTGAAATTCAATGGAATATATAAACTCAGATCACTAAATACCACTGGTAATTATAATATCTCCTTTTGTCATATAGATGATGGAACCGATAGTTTCAATGTTATGATACCATATTTAGGGTTTTTGTTGTTTCTTTCTTTAATAAATATTTTCATCACATTTATCTTTTACGTTCCTGTGACAAAAACCATTTATGATAGACTGTCACCTGCCAGACGAAACCGAGCAAAAAATGTTCCAGATGGCAAAATTGTATCTAAAGAAACACAAATGTCTGATGATGGAAAGAATATAACAAAGCCTAAACTGCAGGCTAATGACGAATCTATGGTGAACGGAAGCCCGGAACAAAAAGCTCGAAAGAATATCAGTGTTATGTTTCTTGTAATCATTATTGTGTACATAGTTTCATATCTGACATCACTGGTTACTCAGATCCACAGTTTTGCAAGCACGGAAGAACGGAAAGGATATATAAGAAATATTTACTTCTTCTGCCTCCGTTTTAATCTTTTGAATCATATTGCCAATCCTTATATTTACTGGTTCTATGACTTGAAGTTCAGAAATGAACTTCGAAGGATTTGTTGTCGTAGCTTTAGAAGATAATATTTTGTTGACTTATTCAATGCAACTTATTTACATTTTGCATAATTTTGGCGTAAAAGGAGATATATAAAATATGTAATCTATGAACATTTTCCCTCGAATCCTTTTTTCGAAATTTATATATGCTTTACGAACAAAAAATACGGACAGATAGATACTGGCAATAACAAAAGACGCTGTTACTGACGATATTAGATTGGCTTATTAGTTGAATGATAGTAAGAGCATTGTCCAAAAATTACTAATAAAGCTTCAGAAAGTCCAATGTGTGTCCGAAATTGTACCTCAATTGTTTATGGAGGAAAAAAAGGGAAACTCAAGTATGTGCATCATTGAAATTCCCGAAATTAAGTGGCGCTTATCCATTTTTTTTTTTTTTAGCAAAGAGAAAACGTGAAGCTGCTTTGGACACTTTGAAGTTATCATCCGTGTGCCGTAAGGAAATACCACACATAAAAATTAAATCTCATATTTTCTTTATGTGAGCATCTTTCTATTTGAAATTTGCTATGTATATTGTTGAAAAATGTACTAAAGAGCAGTAAAAATTTAAGAACGCATTTATGATTATTTTTCACTGTAGAAAATTTGCACACGATTTTATCGGACGACCCTCGAATATATATAAAAATAAAAATCAAAAATCACAAAATATTCAATGCAAGAGCTATACATATAGCACATTTTACAAGGATTCTTAAACTAATAGAAGTGCCCTGAGTAAAGAAATATTGAAATATTAATTTAGAATGCACAAAGAAATTCACTCTTATAGAGATACCCACTTCTGCCCCAGCCCGGGTTTGATCTCGACCTACGGAATCTGTCTCCTACACGTTATGAATTCATTTTGCAATAAAACTCCCTGAACTCGTGCTGAGATATCTTTGTAAAGTTGCTTCCGGAATGAATAAAAACGAACACCCTTAATTTCCTTATTTGAATGACAAGTAGGAGAAGGGGTTTTTTTTATCTTAAAGGTCTTAGTATCAAACAATTTTTTCGATTGTTCCGCTCTCTCTATGGTCGCGAAGTCTGACAGATATGTTACGACCTATTTCATGTTTAATTTGTACAAAAAAAATGTCCGAATCGTTATGATTCGATTGAAGTTACTTTTAAAATAAATGTGTAAATATTTCATTCCTGTGAATTACTTCCTTAACATCAAACAAGATGCAAATGATAAATTAACGCGTTTCAAACGCACCGCTGACTCTCAATTAGAAGGAAGATATGAATAACCCACGTATCCTTCTATTTTTTCCATGATCTTTAGTTATGTACTGACGTGTTTCTTTAATATTTTGAAATGTTGTGGCATGATTAAAATTTCCCTTTTAATAAGCTTAAAATGATCGTTGTAACATTCATATAAACATGGTCTTCTATTTAATAATTTAAATTTCTTAATTCGTAATGAAAAAAAAAAAAAACTTAGACATTCAGTTATCTTTATAAAAACTTGATTAAATACATATTTCTTCTTTTTCCCATTATTTTCCAGATTCACATTTTGAATTATACGTAACAGTTTTAAAGATTAAGTTCAAATTTTAGAACTTCCCTGACAGAGTTAACGTGGCCGGACTAAGATGTATTCTTACAAGAATACAAAGTAGAGGAGTTCGTATTATAAATGGTCATTAAAGTGTTTTTCACTAAATTATATTTCAGTATTCTGATATATATTTTAAGTGATCAGATGGTAATGAAAATTTTGATATAATGGATCACAAAATTTATTCGATATATTTGGCAAAAAGAAAGAAAATGCAAAAAAAAAAAAAAAAAAAAAATACAAAAATAAAATCAGTTATATTTTTTCGCAATAGGATGCATGAGTTTATAGAGTTATTAAGGATTGTGTTTCAATGTATGTAGATAATGTTCTCAAAATTTTCAAGGCATGTCACTGATTGCAAACTCTTTGATCTTTCCTTTGACAAAAACTTATTATTTAACACAAAATTTGTCCTTTTAATTTTGCTAACAGTGAGCGAAATGGTCAGATGGTTAAATGATGTAGTCCCCAAGTCTGGTATCAACATCAAAAAAAGTCTCAATGGCACAACATTCAGCAGTAACTATGGTCCTTTTTTGAACAGAAGATTATTTTTACATTTATCTTCTATTGTAAAATTTAGATTACATATTGTGGCCACACTACCATACGTGGGTTACGATTTAAAAAAAAAAAAAAAAAAAAAAAAAAAAAAAAAAAAAAAAACTTTTAAATTAATTCTCATTGCCTAGGATGTTATTATATATGAATATGACGATATGATTATGACTTAACGTGTTTGCTGCTCTTGAGAAGATGATTTTTAAAAGATTTTTTTCTTCGAAATACTAAGAGTATTCATAAGTAAAAATGTGATTGATTATTGTAGCCCAATCCTACCCCAGGGTAAAGATTTGGACAAATTTGAATCCATACTACCCTTATGGCTTTGCTAATCCTCCGAAGAAGATTTTTTTTTTCAGACTGTTCCCATATATTCCTATGTGAAATGTTCATTTCCCATCGTGGCCCCAATCTAGCCTCGGAGGTCAAGGTCTCAACAAAATTGAATCTACAATACATGAGGATCCCTCCATTTAAATATGACTAATAATGGATTTTCTGCACTTGAGAAGATCTACAAAGGTTTAATCATTTGCATACTTATGTAAAACTTTGCCCATTGTGGCCCCACCTATCCCCAGGGTCTTAATTTAATTGAATAATCTTGCATTTACACTACCCAAAGATGGTTCCATATACACCAAGCATAATGTATTTTCAGGGCAGTGTGTAGATGGTCTTCAAGGATACAATTATAGCGAGAGCAGCGAGCGGCGCGAAGCGGCGCTCGTCACTACGAGCTCTTAAAGCAACGCATGGGCGAAGAGAAAATTCGGACTTTGAACATTGATCCAAACGATTTTTTTTCCGCGGTTACCTGTGATCCCACAATGCTTTGCGAATTGCATCTCGCCGCAAACAACGTTCTCGCGGTAACAAGAAGTTCCAAGAAAAAAATAAACTCACCTTGATTTGATGGATGTAAAGTAGATAAATAGTAGATTAAGCCTTCTTTTTTAAAATTAGCACTGTTCAGACTTCGTTTTGGTAATGCAACTTACAAGCGACGTCATATGACGTCAAACTCTAGACGTACTAAATGTCACGTGCGATTTGAAGAGCCCGATCTACATAAAACTGAATTTAGGCATCTGCGCTCGCCCTAACAGTCGCACCGTCAACATATTATTTTATACATATATTTTAACACTAAAGTTATTTTTTACTAACTAAAGTAAAAGATATGAATATATTAAGGACCCTCTTTACACTGCACTAGAATTTCAGGGTAGACTGATTCACCATTCCATGTGAAATAGAATAAATCGCAATCTACACTGTATTAAAAAATTTGTATGTAATTAATTCAAGTACCCGAAACATTATCTAAGACCAAGATAGAATAAAATTTATAACTTTATTTGTTTGTTCATAAACAGACAAACACGATTTTGTTTTTGTCTATGAAGATTTTTCTTTTGGATAAAAAAGTCACCCACCTTATGCTAAAAATGAAATATATAATTTTAATATGATTTCCTGTATGCTATATAATTTCCTCACAGTTCAAACAACATTTTTTTCATTAGTGTAAAGAAGGTATTAAACACCAAATTTAAAGAAATACATCTGTATATACATTAAGAACAAATTTTTTCTTCATAAAAGATATCTTGAGAAAACAAACAAAAACAGCTAAAACACGTTCATTGTGTATTTCTCTATCAACAACATGGAAAAAAACTTCAACCCCTATGTCACTTATATACATGTAAATTAGAATTTAAATTATAATAGCACAAAGATAATTATTCATTGAATTTAAAAGTTGCTATACAACAAAGGTACATCTAATTACAACCTCATGCTACAATATATTTGGATGCCGATTTCAAAAATGACAACTCAGATTGTTTTCAATATGTCAAAATTTGGTTACATAGTCAAAGGAAAACTACAATAATTTTATTTTTGGTGTTTTACATTCAAGTACTAAGATCTCGAAATGATATCTCCTATGGAGATATCCATGTAATGTGTCTGACTTTTCTCCTTTTTCTTACTTATCCTAAATTTCACAATATGATCATATACTCTATTTTCACTTTTTTCTAATGACGTTTCATAATTGTTCCCTTTTTTATGGCAAGGCTTTCGCCGGATGAGTGTAACCGAAATAACGACGACCAAGATAACGATAAGGGCCGATGATAATGAACCGGCGATGATATAAACTACTATATCATTGAACTCTGAAAAAAATAAAGTTTTTAAATAAAGGCATATGGTAATTGGCAAAGCATAAAGATTTTAAATCATTCAAACAGATATCTTTCTTTGAATACCATATTTTGGAAATATTTTCACTAAGAAAAACACTTTTCAAAAGAGACCTTTTAGCGGAATGCTGAATTATTACGATGTAAAGAGCACAGTAAGATTATGCATTATTTATTCGTTTTTGCAATTGTTCAATCCAATTTAAAACGAGCTGTGTCCCTTTGTAGGATCAAGCAAAATAACAAAAGAGAAGGGAACATTGTTTCTCTTTTTGAAGACTAGAAAACATAACTGGCGGTAAACTGATTATGCTTTAAATTATTTGCAGATCTTTGGACAATCAAAATAAAAGATTCATACCGTTTTTAAATACCATATGAGAATCAATAGCCCCCCTCCCCACAACATGGTGGCTACTTGATGTACTTTTAATGTAGATTCAGCCCCCCCCCCCCCAAAAAAAAAAAAAAAAAAAAACAAAAACAAAAAAACAAGGAAGTAATTTTTAACGTGTATGATATTAATAAATGAACTTTACCATTGCACGTTATTCCTGTCCATCCATCAACACAGCCGACAAGACATTCCCCAGTAATGCCATCACAAGAGGTACTGTTTTTGCAGTTCGGAATGTTGCATGAATTGTTACATTCAGGACCAAAGTATCCGTATTCACATTCTAAAAAGAAACGATTTTATGCCTTAAGATTTAACCATATTTTTACTTTTTTTTTTTTTTTTTTTTTCCAGAGATGATATAGGAAATACTATGAAAACTACATGTATGTCAAATAAAATACGATTGTTATCAGACATTTTAATAGAATAGATTATGATACAGCTTCTGTATGACAATTTTTCCTCGCCTGTGCCTAAAATTTCAAAAGGAATTTATTTTGGTCTTGAAGCAAATAGCCAAGGCACTTTGGCAAACAATTTCCAGTAGAACATTAGCCGACAAAACATTTTGCATAAAGATTCGAAGAACAATGCCAGATAAGGATGTCACAGTAAAGTTAATTATTAGTAGACGTTGTTCGGTCTATGAAAGACTTTGAAATCTAGACATACCTAGATTACATTTTCTTCCCTTCCAGCCGGCGGAACATCCATTTGGACAAGCCCCGTTTATATTGTTACATGATGTTCTGTTACGACAGCGTCCACACGCAAGGGAACAATTCTGTCCGTACTGACCGGCAGGACATTCTAGATGAGATTTTCAAAAATAAGCTTTAATCCCATAGAAAAATAAACTTATTCTTGTGTGTTGCATTAAAATAAAATAAAAAAGAGCTATTCTTTCATTGTACAGTGGCTGCAACGTTAATGTTGACAAAACAGTTGTGAGGAATCGTTCTTGTAATGTGCATGATTGTTCAAGTAACTTGAGAGATTGTGTTTGAATCGGGTTTAATCGTCTTATAATTGCTTATGACAATACATATTTCACACCCATTTCATTATCTTTCAAGACATTAAATAATTCATTTCCTCTAAACGAGTATTAAAATAGATTATTTTTATTCTGATGATAATTATGTTCACTGATTATCGTAGTATAGATATTTTATATCAATACATCGGAAAGGTATATCTATACAAAAAGAAAATAATCAATTCTTATATAAAAACTAAGTCGGTGAATAAAACATGGCATGTCGTGTAAAGTGTAGAATCGTGTGCGTAAAGGATTATTGTCTCTAGGAGACCTCTAAAATTTAGGCGCCAGCTGGCTCCTAATAAACAAAAATGAGTCGCCAATGCAAATTTTTAGTCGCCAGGCAATTTTTTTCTTAGGCGCCAATTTAGACATACTGACTCATCCAATTATTCAGGAAGGGCGGGGTGATCTATTGTAATTGTAAAAATTCTTTTTCTTCTTAAAAATATATGTTAAAAATATTTATAGTTTCGGAATTTGATGATCGCCAAATCAATTTAAAATGGTTTCCACTATGGCGACTTATACAAAAATTTGAGGCACCTAGCATTTTTTCCGGCGCCATGGAGACTTAATTAGTCGCCAGTTAGAGTCCTGGGATTGTTCGTGTGTCCCGTTCAATCTTGCGTGATAGTTCGTGTATGCTGTCACCAATAACTTTGCAACAACTGCACATTGTTCACATAAAACAAAAAAACCTTATTTAGCTATTATTTTCCTTTTTTATGAATCCAAAGGGGAAAAATAATGCAACCTCCTTGTAGAACTATAGGGAAATGTGCAATATTTAATGTACCTGTAGTACATGTTGGACCTTTGTATCCTTCTTCACAGCCAAAACACACACCTGTCTGAACATGACAGTTATTATTTAGGCAATTTTCAGGACACCTAGAGCACTCTCCTCCATAAAAACCAAAATCACAACCTGTAAAAATTCGTCGAAAATACATGCATGTTTTTTGAAAGAATTTTATTTTCAAAGCCCTAATAACGATTCCAAAAGTTTCTACATTGTTCAACTCTTGGAGATTAACTAGGTATGAAAGTCTAAAATAAAGTCTTGTTTTTAAGTGTTGCACTCCTATTTCAGATGTTAGAAATACGTAAGAAAAGAGTGGATTATGCCTCTTTTTCAGTTCTGTCAGATAAGGATGTTGAAAAGGAACATTACTTACTCCAAAGAAAATTCAGTTATATGAAATTTATATACAGTATTTGCTCTTCTCCTTATTTAATGCAATTGGTTCTCAAATGTAAAAGATTATAATGAAATTTAAGATATGAATTGTACCATAATTTTAAATGATATGTTTGAATTTCATTTAACTGTGTTCCGACTTCAAGAATATGTATACATCTTCCCTGCATACACATAGTAGAAAAAACAACATTCATCAAAAAAAAGAAAGAAAAAAAAATTCTCTGAGCTTAGCTTACATGTAAGACAGTGTGATGTTTTTAGAGGTTTAACATCTTTGAAAATTTTTGCGTTACAACAAGATAAACATTCATTATGAAGGAAAGGATTGATTGATTGATTGTATATTGTTTTACGTCCCATTGGAGAATTTTTAACTCATATAGAGACGTTACCGTATACCGCTGAGGAAAAAGAACGATTTACGTCAACTAGAGATGGATTATTCAAATGTACAATTCCAGAGCTGGTGGTTTTTATTAATAATATAGAGCATTTTTGAGAAACCTTTACAACATTCTGTTCTTGCATGATTAGATATATGTTTCTATAAATAGAAATAGGGATTTTGTATCCTTGTTTGTAAATGCATATCAATAAAGTAAAAATGCACACTGATGACAAGATATGTTAAACGAGGAAATACTTCATTCAAACTCTATATAAATTTAGAATGACTTAATGAATGTTTCCCTTTGTACAAATCTGATAGCCCATAGGGTATTTCTCTCTCTCAAACATTTGGTCTTATCTTTCCACCAAATTAGAGTTAATAACATATCGTACTTCCGTATATTAATGCACGTAGATAAAAATAAAGCTAATTATCCACAGACTTTAGATTTCTTCCCCAAATTGTATCATTATCTTACTCTCAAATTTCGTTTTGCCAAACATATATTCTTATTTCAGTTTTTTTTTTTTTTTTGTTTTTTTTTTTTTTTTTTTTTTTTTGTTTTTTTTTTTATTATTCATTTTCTTTATCTTTTCTTTATGTTTTAATTAGTATAATTATTTGCGTTGTGCTTTTTACTTTTAATTTGTTTTTGCTGTGTAGTCCTTGTTTTTAATTCGTTTTAGCTTTTTTTCTCAAACTCGAAGGTCAGTTAAGATGACACCCAAGGAAAGGTCCTAAACTAGAAATAAATATGTGAAATATGAAAGCCCTAGCACCAACCATTCAAGTTATGGCCAATGTCAAAGGTTGGCAAAAGTTGGTCAAACTCAATGTTCAAGATCCGGACATCAAATATCTGACCTAAAGAAAGGTGTTATCACACTGAATATATAAGGGAAATTTGAAAGCCCATCATTTAGAAAGTTATGACAAGATTAATTTTTTTGAAGACGAACAGACAACAGAATGACAGATAAAAAGCTATATGCCCCCGAATTCAAATCCGAATTCCGTTTCCGAGGAATAAAAAGAAAAAATTACCTGCAACATTTATTTCGCAAATATTGATATATGCAAACTCGGACACAGATGGAAATTGAGTCGAGTTCCTTGAGTTGTGTACAGTGACGTAACGACCGGAAGAGATGCAGGGGAAGGATATTGTATTGCTTGGTATTACATCAATCTCATGATGATGACAAACCTGTCCAGATTTCCAGTCTTCTGTATCAGATATATATACAGAGAAACCAGCAAAGGTACTTCCTTCTATCAAAAACACGATTGTTAATTAATGAATTGTGAAAAAAGCTTCATGTACTTTAATTACCCTCATACAAAATCATACTTCAGAAATCGTTTTTGTTACAGCGAGCAGAATGAAATGTCATTTACTAAATACCCAGGAAACGAAAATAAAAAGAAATAAAAGAGCATGGCTTACTATTACATTTTACCGACACTGATTCACCGGAAGTACAGTTTTGTCCTCCCATTGGACATTCATTGATGCTGACTTCATCTCCCTTACAGTTGGGGTCATTTAGTATAATTCTGGAAGACGTATTCACTATTCTGTGTGATGGATAATCTCTGCAACAATGCATAGATCTTTTTATTGTCATAGTTATTTTTGTCCACAGACATATCTTACTTTTATCGTTTATTTAAATTTCTAATCCGGGTAATTAATTATTCAAAATTTACAGCGTATACATTTTTATGACCTTGACCTTCAAAAAAATCCAAAAATACCATTTTTACCTGCCTTCTTGAAAACATACGCCAAAACTTCAGGATACATTACTTTATTATTGATATTAAATCTTTGCTATGTTGAGTACAAAAACATCTACTGAGACTATAATAGAGAGTAAACAACACAAATACTGAATGGACAATGTTATAAGATCTCTTAGAATGAATAACTAAGAAAGGAAAATGTAGTACCAGTACTGCAAACACTTAGTTTTATATTCGAAAATTATGTACCTGATCAGCTGTTTTCTAAACTTGTACCAATACTCCAACATATCTTTATAGAAATAATTGTGTCTTAAGTATATCAACATTTATTGAAATTAGTCCAAATAAGTATTGAAGTTATAGTGTTATGATATATAATATCACAAAGGATATTCTGTTAATCACTGCAACATAGTGCATCCATATTACATGTAAACACATATATAGTGTTAGTATGAAACGCGATACATTATACCTGTACTCCAAGTTAAACTAAAATCAGACCAAATATGTAGAGGGAATAGTATATATTTGAAAGATTTATACATAAAAATGTATTTTTATCTTACTGTAATGTACATGTGTACCAAATTTTATTAAAACCAGAATTAGTTTATAGAAGAAAGTGTGTTTTGAAAAGATTTCAAAGAAATTTCTTTTTTTTTAAATGGTAATGGCATTATCGTCTTCAAAATCAAAATCAGTATAAGGGGAATCATGTTTCTTAATGTTCTGACTACATTATTTAAACATAGAAATAAGACGAGAACTTGACAGGATGAGAAGCCTTTAACAACAATTCTACAGAAATGTTACTTTTCCGGAAAAAAAAACATGTGCAGAGAACCAAGTATTATCATGTAATCTATTTATGTTCAAAGTTTTATTGAATTTGGAAGAAAAGAAAACAAAGTCCCATTTTGGAATATTATTAAATAGACAGACGAAATATACTTTACCACTTCATAATTGTTTATATCCTCGAAGTGCGACCAGTAGGCTAACAAATGAAATAGTTTACTTACGGTAAAAATCCCCATATCAGACAGATAACCATTGCGTCTCTCGTACCAAGGTTCTCCCCACAAATCTCTCCATTATCCCTGAGAAAAACAGTTCCAGTTCCGTCAGAGTCTGGAAGTACACCCGAACTAGTAGAGCTAATTGGAGATGCATCAAGACCCACTGCAAAAAAATATGTCTGTATTGACTTATACAATTCATATTATTAAATTTAAAAAAAATATATAAATATTTGACAATTCTTTACATATAAACATACCCCTTACACATACAGAAGTGTATGTTTAGTTAACCACGATGGTTTAAAATTAAAGAAAATACTGGTGCATTTCTACATGATCGTTACTTATCGAACATACATATCATCATGAATGAGCGTTTTTTGATATCAAATAAAATATTCCGAGGATTGTGACGACATGAACCAAACATTTCTATAACTATCTTTATTGCGAGGGATATGATTTCTAGAGATTTATTAAAAATATTGCTTCAGCAGAGAAAATAAGGGAAGTGAATCATTACATACATGTACATGTATATTTTACATCATAAAAGAAATGTTGTCTTAAATACTTACAACCTCCATGCAAAATTAATATCGATTCGATATTTTTCTTTGAGCCGAGGTCCACCCTTAACCACGCTTCTTTCTGATCGAAGCCTGTGAGTGTACATTTCAATAGGTCAGTACTCCGGTCACCGTCCACTGCATTACTTGGAGCAAAGTATTTATTGTTGTATCTTGAGCTTACACTCACCGGTCTCTCAAAAGCCAAGAACTCTATAAGATAATAAAAAAAAACTTAAGAATAATATACGATGCCATTTGATTAGAAAGTAAAAGTCAAAGATAACTTGAGTGATGGATCTCAAAAAATCTATAAACAATATGAATATGTGAAGAGGGCAAAAAAGAAAAGAATAAAAATAAAAGGTCCCACTGGAAATTCTAGAGGTGCCTAGGAGGAGTAAGCATCCCTTGTTAACGGTTCATATTTTTTTGGCATTTACTATATATTATATGGCATTTAAAACGAAATATTTGATTTCCCATATTTAAAATGTGATTCGTGTCCAAAATTTTCTATAAGAATAAAAAAAAAATCTTACCGTAAGCGTTTGTTCTTCTGATTGATTTGCAAAATACAATGAAGCAAAACATTGTATAGGTGCCCATACTGAAGTTGCCTTGAATATGTTGAGGATTTAATTTGTCACAACTTTTTTATAATTTTTTTCTCTACTTACTTCCGAGTTAATGTTTTACTTTATGCTTCCAAAAAAGAGCATGACAACATTCCTTTGAAGTAACATATATTTTAAAAGGTAAAAATATATCCAATGTATTAGTAAAATGTTAAGATGGGATAATTAGTTTGAATGATGCAATCGACATCCTTCTCTTCCTAACTCTTCAAATTTGCACATAGTTCCAAAAATTATGATTTGTACTAAACGAGCTAATGAATATATCTCGATTACATTCTTGACACGTTGACACTTTTTTAATCTATACTGTAATATAATAGTTTTAAAAGATGGATAATGAAAGTAGCACATATTGCCAGAATACATACATTTAGGATAAGTGATATAGCAATGTAAAGTAAATAAGCCAGATACGATAGAAATCAATCAATTGGTAGATAAATACCCAGTGCGAGTACGGTAGAAATGAATGCTGCTTCGAGAGTGGGTAAGTTTCGAGATAATCAGACCTGAGATTTAAAGATAGAGAGAGGGAGAAAACATATCTCCAAAGGGGGAGTGGGGTGGGGGGGGTCGTATCTCTACGTTTGTTTGTTGTTTGCAGACATTGCATTGTTAGAAAAAAATAATGAAAGTATAAAAAAAACATGAACACATCAACAAAGCACCAAAACATTCATCTGTATAGCGGAGGTTCTTTTAAACTGCATAATCATACACACACAGCCAGAGGTCTCTGACGACACTGTACGACTGTAAAAATATACTGATGTGTACAAGTGATATGGAACAATGCATTTTAGTAAATATAGACTACTTGTGTACCAAATCTAACTGAAATCGGCCAAAACTGTGGGAGGAGTTTTCATTTGAAAGGACTTCTTAGCAATTTATATTTAAACTAACACCTTGCAACATCAAAAATTGAAATCAAATAATACCAATTAATACAAATATTTATTTCAGTATAGTTTATGTGGGTACAAATCTTACTGAAATCATATTTAAACTGTAGGCGGAAGAATTGCACAGACATTTCTATTTTTGTAACCCTGGCAATTCCATTTGTCGCAATGAAAAATCCAAAAAGAAAATTACGTATCTAAGACTTTTTTAACAACGTTTGTCGGAAGAAATATATATATATATATATTAGAACAAAAACGTTTTAGGAAATACTACATATGTACCAAGAGGTAACAAATATAATCAAACTGCAGGAAGAGTGGTATTTTGAATAATTTTAAAGAAATACTTCTTTTATAAGGCCATGGCAACACCATTTGATGAAGTCTTAGACCAATATTAAAAATAAGGTATCTGAGATAAGTAAACGTGTGTGCTGTATTGCTGAAACTGGGCTAAAATGTAGGAGGAGATGTGTTTTGAAAAATTAACAGGAAGACTGAAAGTTTGAAAGACGTTGGTTGGACATCTCACCAATTCACAAGCTCTTTTGGTCTCCGACTAGTAGAGCTAAAAACCAGAAGTCTCTGATGAGACTGTAGCTCTACTGGTCTGTACATATACATGTAACAAAGAAAAAGTAGCACTTGGATTCGAAACTTTGCAACATGCAGCAATAAATAGAATTATATATCTTCATACAGACTACTTGTGTGCCAGGTTAAATTGAAATCAAATAAAAACTGAAGGAGGAGTAGCGTTTTAAAAGAAATTCACAGAAATTTCTATTTTTAGTAACCATGGCAACATCGTTCATCGAAATAAAAAAAACTGATGCTCTGAATTATGTATCATAGTTTAGTCTACTTGTGTGCCAAGTTATATTGAAACCAGACCAAAACTGTAGGAGGAATTTCATTTTGAAGGAATTTCACAGAAATTTCTATTTTTAGTAACCATGGCAACATCGTTCATAGAAGTCAAAAACCGATGCACTAAATTATGTATCTTAGTGTAGTCTACTCGTGTGCCAAGTTATATTGAAACCAGACCAAAACCGTAGGAGGAGTAGCATTTTAAAGAAATTTCACAGAAATTTCTATTTTTAGTAACCAGGCCAACACCATCCATCGAAATCAAAAACCGATGCACTAAATTATGAATCTTAATAGAGGCTACTTGTATGCCAAATCACATTGAAATCAGACCAAAACTGTATGAGGAGTAATGTTTTAAAGGAATTTCACAGAAATTTCTATTTTTAGTAACCATGGCAACACCGCTCATCCAAATCAAAAACCGATGCACTAGATTATGTATCTTAGTGTAGTCTACTTGTGTGCCAAGTTATATTGAAATCAGACCAAAACAGTATGAGGAGTAGGGTTTTAAAGGAATTTCACAGAAATTTCTATTTTTAGTAACCATGGCAACACCGCTCATCCAAATCAAAAACCGATGCACTAGATTATGTATCTTAGTGTAGTCTACTTGTGTGCCAAGTTATATTGAAATCAGACCAAAACTGTATGAGGAGTAGGGTTTTAAAGGAATTTCACAGAAATTTCTATTTTTAGTAACCATGGCAACACCGCTCATCCAAATCAAAAACCGATGCACTAAGTTATGTATCTTAGTGTAGTCTACCTGTGTGCCAAGTTATATTGAAATCAGACCAAAACTGTAGGAGGAGTAGCATTTTGAAAAATTGTTTACAGACAGACGGACAGACAGACAGACAGACAGACGGACGCCGGACACCTTACTATCGCATAAGCTCTTCTGGTCTCTGACCAGTAGAGCTAAAAACTGTCAATACTTAGAGAAGAAGTTCCATTCTCTACATTTACATGTAATATTAAAACCTCACAACTCTTAATTAGAAAAAAAAAAAGAAAAGAAAAAAGAAGTTTTAACATATGTCCCTGGTCAGCTTTTATGAAAAAGTCAGTGCGTTTAACTTCAAAACTATTTATTACAACCCTAACAAAAATACTATAGTTTACTATAGTATCAAAGTTTAACAATTATAGTAAATTAAAATGTTTACTATAGTAATTTAAAGTATTTTTTACTATGGATTTCAGATTGTTAATTGATAACTTATGTTCACCAGTTCATACATGTAAAATTTTATATTAAATTGAACTATTACTCGATTTGCAAATTTTATTTCAAAATTTTACATCACCGTTATCGAATTTAAGAGATTTTAAGCTCTGAAATCTCAAAAAAGTTCCACAATAAAGTTTCGTAGTAAATCAAAGCTTTCGAAGTTTTTACTACAGTTAACTATAGTAAACTCTAGTTACCTATAGTTAACTTTAGTAAATGTTTGTTAGGGAATTCATTTTTATAAGATATTTGAATTAAGCAAATCAAATTATACAACATTCTATTAAAAAAAACCTGCTAACAAAGTCATAAAAACATTCGGAGGGGGGGGGGGGTATTTCAATTAATAGTTTTAAAACAAATTTTACAGATTCACTCAACATAGTTCGCCACGAAATGAAAATATATTAAAGAAATCAAGATTAACTTAACACTGTTTTTTGACTGCAAGATACATATTTTGACCAATATCTCAAAATGTACATCACTGATCTGGACTTTTTCTTTCATTATTTCAAACTACATGATACTTCCAACCAAACAGCCCTTGAGTCATAAAAATTTGATATAAGAAAATATTTTATTGCTTACATAGATTTTTAATACCACAAATATCATACTTTTGTGCAAAAAGGGTTACACAATAATTTATGCGCATTGATTTGCATGATTTTTTTTTCTATGATAAATATTATTCAACTTTTTTTACGTAAAATAAGACTATATTTATTGTCATGATTACATCCGATAAAATACGAGAATGATTAAAGTAATCAATCTAAGAGTTACAATTGAAGTTCAAAAAGGTCAACTTAATTGTACCGTTGATCAGTAAGATGCACACTGACGTCCCAATTTTCTTTGAGATTTTGAGTCTTGCTATATGAGTATCTAAAATATACATCTAAAAATATGTTGATATAACCACATTCACGAGGGGCATACCTTAAATGTATAATACACAGGGACGTTGGCACATTGCCAAAATGACAACAATTTGTTCTTCCTGCTCCCCTAATTATGAAAATCTTTTTTTTTACAAATTTTACAGATGTACTATAAATGTTTTATTTACTGTTCTTATAATCAGAAAAAAAAAAGTTATCAAATAAAAGCCTAATTTCTCTAGATAACAATGGTTAACTTACAGTATAAAATATGATTTTATAGTCCGTACATTTATTTTATACACATTAGTATATACACGTTATAATTGTATTTATCTACGTTATCAATTTCTTAAAAAAAGATAATGTGTACATCTTCCTTTTACGTCTTCCAACATGTAAAGATATATAGGGAAAAATAAATTTAAATAAAAAATGAAATAAACTTCTTCCAGTACTATAAAATTTAAATTTGAAGATTGTGTGAGCTAGAATGATAGAATAAAGTCTCTTTGATTGAGCCATCATTAAATCTCTCTCTCTCTCTCTCTCTCAAACAATGAATATGTGTATATTATTTTTTTTCTCATTTTAAATTTTCTGAACGAATTCAAACTCATAGAAGAAAAAATGATTCTGTTGTTCTTATTTCTTCTCTCTTGCAATTATGCGTGAATCTGACCGTTGAATGAATCTGAAAAAGTAAAAACCAGTTAAATATAAACTTGGATTGGGAAGTCTGACAAAAAAAGGTAACAACTTCAATTGATCTTCTGACCTTTTTAAATCTACGTTTCTAAAATCACTTTGATGACAAAATTTACTCGCAGATTTTTCAGTATTTTACAGAAGTAACAGTCATTTTCATATTCTTTTGTTTTTGCATCCTTCTATATAAGGTCCGAACAAATTAAAAGAAAACATGAAACTGTCATTGATAAAGCTACCTGATGAAAATGATAATGACGATAACAGCGATGATAATGACGATGACTCCGACGATTACACCGATAGCTATCGCTGCAGTATTTGTGTCCTCTTCAACAAGGCTGGACCGGTCTGTACCTTGAAATATCATACATTTTCATGCATTTTTTTTTAATTTTAGGAACAATGATAATTCTTTTATTCAAGCAATAACGCCTTAACCATTTCGAACTTATTCAGAAATAAGAAACTCAATTTAAATTAGACCTTTAGAAATGATGATAATAGCTTTACATTTTGGCAAAGTGTTGTTTGATTTAAACACATATTTTGTTAAATGGTAACATTCTCATTGTTTCAGAGAAACATCGCTCTTAACTTTAAATACGTATAAGATTTATTATTGATTGTATGTTGTTTTACATCCCCTTTGAGAATTTTTCCCTCATATAGAGACGTCACCATATACCGGTGAAGGGCTTCAAATTTAGACCTATACTAGGCACTCAAGGCAATTGAACAGTGAGGAATCTTTATCGTGCCAACGCATGCCGTGACACGGGGCCTCGGTTTTTAAGGTCTCATCCGAAAGATCCGCAATTTTACTTCAAAGTGCCGAGAGCTTGGCAAAAGAACAGTTGCTGCCTATTTTTTTATCAACTTAGGTCAGGCGCGACCGAGATTCGAACGCAAGACCTTCCGATCACAGAGCGAGCGCTCTGCCGACTGAGCTACAGTGTACGATTTATATATAACTAATTTAGACAGGTAAACGTATAAGGGCTCTTCAGTTTCCTTGTGCAGTACGTAACATTGTGATTGAAAATAAATAAGAGAGATTTGAAAGAAATGCATATTGCAATTGGTATTTAACATTTTTCTGAATTTGAAGAACATAATCATCAATGCGTAGCTTACATAATATTGTTTTAGAGCTTTTTCTTTAAAATTACCATCAATAAATTCTGTTTTTCCTTTTTTTATCCTTAACATTTTAATCTTATTCGTTGAATAATAAATTTCTAAAGAATCAATTATGAATTCTTACTTTCGGTACATTGTTTCCCTTTCCACCCGGCCATGCAGCCGCCGATACATCGTCCATCAATAGGATCACACTGTCCTGATTTCCTACAACCACTGCTACAGGCTGTCGCACACTTGTGTCCGTAAAAGCCCGATGGGCAAGCTGAAATATTCAGACATTTTTTTCTGTTATTTTTTTTACAGAAATCAACACTCTTTAACAAAAGGTAACAAGCCTTGTTGAATATTTTGCTTGCAATTGAGTAGCTGAAAAATTTCATCAGATTTCAATATAAAATTTACAATGAGAAAATCAATCAATTCATTGGCCTAATCATTTAAATATATTATTATACTGAACTAAAGGCTTATAGAAAGGCTACTCACACGAATTACAAAATGGTTCTGTCCATCCGGGAAGACATCCTTCCGCACATGTTCCGTTCACATGGTCACATATGACGTTATTTGCACACTTCCCACATCGCTCCGTACAGTTGTATCCATATGTGTAGTTACTACATACTGAAAAAGGGAAATAAATTATCTACAGGCACTATTTTTGCATTTAGAACAGTGTAGAAATAAGAAGAACACAATTAACCTTAAAAGAAAAAGTCATTGAAATTTCCCAAATTAAAGGAATCCACAGGATGACTATGCCATAGATTTCATGAAAAGATCACTCAGTAAGCATTCCAATCAGTCGACTGAATGGCGCAGTCTCGCGTCATGTTATATTTTTTATCAGCATGGGTGTAGAATCATTACATTTTCTTAATCGTTATCAGTTTTTTTTTTTACTAATATATAACAACAGGTAGCATTCTGAAGGGTTACTTTACATCCTAATTACCTTTTAATGTTGAGATCCAAAGTTGACTCTTGACAAAATATCGAATAAATGGATTACTTTACATGCATTGATTATATATTTCTATTATTTTTTTACTCGTATTATTTTCTACTTAAGCAAATCCCACATTAGTTTACGATATTGCTTTCCTATATGTAATGATACTATATATTATATCACCACTGTGCTCGAATAATTTTTAACATCATTTTTTTGTTTTCGTTGTTGGGCCAAGCCTCACAATTAAGCGATCAATTCTCTGCAAAAACTTCACTACTTATAAAATAAAACCAACTAGCCTTCAAACAAATCATATCAAGGTTTTTTTCCCTTCAAAATCTACAAAATCAACGTAAATTAATCAAACAACAGCCTTTGAAGAAAGTAAATACACCTTAACTACAATATATCTTTGAAAATGTCCGTAGCATATTAAGTGATTTACATAATGCTTAAATAAATTGATACATGAGGTCTTTTATATGTAAATACAATTCATATACATTCGCACTGTCTAATCTGAACTTCTTCAATAGATACTAGTTTTTTTGTGAAAATGATACCTTTGTCACAGTCTGCCCCGTAGTACCCGTCATAACACTCGATACATTTTGCACTTATTATATGACAGATTCCTTCGCGACATTTCTGAGAACAAGGAGTGCACACAAAACCTCCTCTGCCTTTTTCACAACCTAAAAATATGAAATATTCTACCAGTACATTTGTAAACAAGAGGTTGATTTTTTTCAGTTATATGCAAAGGTAAAAAAAGATACATAGTTCTGTTGACTGTGGAGAATTATAAGATTTAATAGCAATCTTTGGTGGAAGAAAAGTTTGAACGAATATAAAACTCAATGTGTCAACGTCACACGAAAACCCTTGCAGATAACAAGGAAGTTTTAAATATTTGAAAGTCCAAGTATTTGAATTACAATGTAGTTGTCAATACCACAACATACTTTAGTTGCATGAAAATGATCAATTAGCAACATAATACCCACCCATCAACCCCCACCCCACCCCCGAAAATTAAAACCAATGGATTTTTTTTTCAAAAAGGAAAAGAAATTATATGTTTTGGGGAAAAGAGTTAATCAACATAAAACTCAAACTTCAATCTTCAATATTGATCTTGAATTGATCTTCAATATAAAGACACTAATTAAAAATCAACAAATTACCTTTAGGCACAGCGAAAAAAAACCACATTGAAAATATCAAAACTTCAAAGTTGTAGGCATTACCCTTAGGAAAAGAGGTCAATTTACAAAAATAATTTGAATTTAATGTGTGTCATTAACATACCAAAACTCAGCTTATTATCTGACATTGATTGATTGTATGTTGTTTTACGTCCCATTCGAGAATTTTCACTCATATAGAGATAACACCACTTGCCGGTGGAGAGCTGCAAATTTTGACCTAGTCTCGGTACCCAGGGCCATATTTTATCGACTTAGGTCATTTGCGGTCGAGATTCGAACTCACACCCTTCCGATCACAAAGCGAGCGCTCTACCGACTGAACTACCGTGACGGCACATTTACAGTGAGGAAAAGTCAGAGAAAATTAGTTTTCAAAGTGTAAGGGTTATAACTGCTTTCAATGGGTCAATCAACATGAAACTCGATGTTGATCTGTAAGTCATTAATTTAAAAACCCATGTACCAAACATCAGATAATAATCTACAAGTAACTCAAAAAGTGAAAAAAGAAAGAAAAAAAACAGTAAAATTTGGAAAATTTCAAAGTCTAGGATTAATAACGTTCCTACAAATGTGTCAATGAAGGTGAAACTCAGACTTGATCTCTAGGTCATCAACATATAGAAACATACCAAAAATCAGCTTATTATCGATCTACAAACAAAGCAACAACCAAAAAAAAAAAAAGAATCCGGAAAAATATGCCGGAATGACGGACGGAATGACAGGGGCATGACACCTAGAGCCTATTAATTTTAAATAAAGCCTTTACATAGCTTACCTGTAACAGTGATTTCACATAGTTGAATCACTGCAGTTGGGGAATAACCATTCGGGTATTTAACACCTGGAAGTCGTTCATTGTAGAACGTAAGAAATCTTCCATGAACTTTGCAGTTTATCTCCATATACAGTTCCGGAAGAGTAGAGGCGTTGTGATTATAACAAAGATGTCCGTTACGAAAATTAATTTCGTCATTAGAAATATATACAGAAAATCCTGCCATTGTGTCAGCACCTGAAGAGAAAATTCTAAATAGAGGTGCCTTTAAATTGTTTGCCTCGAATAGGCAAATTTAGTAATAGTAATGCACGTCATGGTGGTTTAAATCTTTGTTGATATAAGAAAGCACATCTCAATCAAATATTTCAGTTAAACAGCTTTCATAGATATTTATCTCCAAAATGTAACGTTATTTGACTTTTCCTTCGATAAAATAAAACCATGTTTCATATTTTAAAGTCAACAGTACTTTCGGACTTTGCTTTTAAGAGCTGCACGTTCAATTGTACTTGATTAAAATGCTCTTGAAATAATTTTGTAAGACCTTTTTTAAATGATAGCCTATTTTGCAAGTTAAAAAGTAACGAAATTATTTTCATGTAAGAAAACTCACTATTTTTAGCATAGGTGATGTGTATGTACAAGATGCTCGTCTCCGACAGATCCACCTGCCACCACGCTTGAGTTGCGTTCGTTAAAGTCTGTGTACATTTCACTTCGTCCTGGCTGACGTCACCATCGTTTGCTAGTTCCGGTTTACTCCAAAAATGTGCGCGTGAGCTCATGATAGCATGCTTTTCTAAGGCTAAGTTCTGCTCTAGAATATCATGACAGATATTTGAATAAAAACAACATTAGTTCAGGAGTATTTAACCCTACTTAATAGTTTTGAAAATTTTACATCAATTTTATCGTCTTTTATTCCAATATAAATTTCTAGAATTCCTGAGCACACAAATAATATTTTTCTCTGATGACTCTTACATTATAGGTACATTTTTGTAAATTGGTATTGTGACATTGAAAAACGACCAACATTTAACAAATCATTACTTGAAACAGATATATAAAGATACATCTTCTATGAAATCATAAATGCCTACCCTTGGTTGGTTTCAGTTAACATTTTTTTTTATCGAACGTAGAATTAATCTGTTATGGAGTTGGATAATGCTATTTTTTTTTTTTTTTGAAGAATAGATAATAAAAAAAATCATTAAAAATACAAGTAACTTAAAAACATATTCATAAAATTTGTCATTAATATATATTAAAAGCTACTTACCATATTCGAAAGATATTCCGACGAAGGATATCAAAGAAATGATAAATTTTATTAATGACTCCATTTTTTTTTTTCAAAATGCAAAAAATTATTTCTTACAGGTGCCTATCAAGCAGATGTCTGTTTAACATTCTTTTTGTTTAAAAAAATCGACTTATATCTTTCAACGTTTGTGGCCCAGAAATTTGTAAATTTGAAATGTCGATAATATCAGTAAATATTTCAAGGTGGAGTTAATATACAGCTATGCACGTTAGCATTGTTTTTGTTCAGATTTAATTGAGTCGGAATAATTTAAATATATTCGCATTCCGGAACATATCTTTAAATGACGATGATTTCAATTTTAAGCGTTCTATCTATGCGGAGATCTCATTCCTATGCTCCTGGCCACTCATTAAGTGAACCCATTAGAATATCACCATCCTATCTAAATTACACCACACAAAGGATAAAGCATTAAGGTATTTAGGCTATGAATTGTTTTTAAATGTGTTTGATACAGAAAATAGTGTTTATGCTTTGCTACTTTATTTTTATAGTCGAATATTCAGACATGTGATTTATTTTCATTAGATATTCTGCACTTATTCATTCCTGTTTATATATCCAAACATTAATGAAGAGTGTGTAATAAGCACGTACTTTTCATGAGGTGAAATGACAGCTTTGTTTCAGTGATGTGTCATTAAATGTAATAATATGTTAACAATTTGTTAAAAATTGTTAAAAATGTGTTAAAAACAAGATTAAATATCAAGACAATGTTATTCCTCCTCTCTTTTTAATCATCTTTTTTTCTCTTTAATTAGTATTAGATATATAATCTTAATTTGAATTTTGAAGGAAATCGTGCTTTAATTTAAAAAATGTATTTACTTAACAACTAAAAAATACGAGTTATTTGCTTCTTTCATTTGAAAACTGTCAACAATAAAATAAACGGCTTAAAAATAAAATATGCAAAATCACTATAAAGATTAATTTTGGTTTTTAAAACTTATTTATCTTTTAAAAATGGAAGACACTGATGACACATGTATATGTTCACTTTAAATAAAGTCTAAAAACTATTCCCAGGAACTGATATATCGGTTTTCTTTTGAAACATAATCCATGTTTTCGTGATGTGACCTAGAAGAAATAATTATCATCAAATATTTACTGGTAATATGACGTTCATGTGCAAGTTTGTCTGATGAAATAAAGAAAATCTCATTTATATTCAAAATATGATTTTTTCCTAGGAAATTTAGGATTGGTTAGTACATGTACATTGACTTATAATCCATATTCATTCTTTATATTGAAGCCTTTGAGAAAATTTTATTGCATAAATGCTCCATCTCCTACATTAAACCTCTAGCATTTCTTTTCAGATTTGAATATTCTTGTTGAAATATTTTTAAAGAAAAATAAATAGATTTAATCATAGAGGGAATTAAAAAAAATCACTTATTGATGGAGATAATAAATAAGTGTTGCTTACCCAATATTTCCATGAATGAAAGATCGGGTACAAGTAGTTAATACGACATCTTGATCAGCATGTATGTCGTCTAAATTATTTTGAAAACATAAATTATCAAGAGTGTTGAAAGCTAACACTGTCAACATATTTTGGCATCTATATGTTATGTCATTTATATAAAATACAATTATTTTTTAAAACTACTGTGGGAAAAGAATTTTACTATACTGTGTGTTACATGTACCTGCTTCTTTAAATCGTATTTAAAAAAAATAATTTGATTTTTGCACCTGCATTATCTCTATCAGCTGTATGATTTCCACTGTGAACACCGGCATAATAATTTACACTTATGATGCTAAGGCGGCGCTGGTGAGACGAGCCTCCAACCTTGACCCTTGATTTCCCTGTATACCTAAAATCCAATTTTCGTTTTAACTTGTAGGCGTATGTTTTGATCATAACAAAAAGCGCACATGTATTTATTGTTGTTCCATATAAAGCATTACCTTAGGTAGAGAGAAATTACCATCAATTAAGCAATGAAAAATAAATACAGTATATTGTGTAAATATGTTACAAATGTGTGAGGAATAATCAATGTAACAAAATGGAGATGAAATCACCTTATAACTAACGCAACCATTATGACGTCAGTGACAATAAACAGAACAACCACTCCAATTACGATTCCCAATACCGCCTCATCAGCTAGTCCACTTGTCTCATTAACTTCTGAAATAATAATATTCCGTCTTATGTCAAGTGACGTAAACGATAAATATATTTTTCAAATCGTTTGTGTTTGCAAAAGAAAAGGTTTTTGCTTCTGATATTTTTGCAATCAAAAATAGATACATTCTTTCTTAAATCATTCCTGTCAATAACCAATTTAAGCTGAAAATTGATGATAGCTCTAAATGCATTTGGTGATTTGAAAAATAATATTTTTAATGATATTTGAAATATTGGTTTCCTATTACTGATTTGTGTTACATTTCTCCCCAAATAGTGATCCTTTTTGTCACGGTACCTTAGTGTTGGAGACCTCTCATCGTGATCGGGAGGCCCGGGTTCGATTCTCGTTTGCGGCGCTGCGTTAAACCTAAGGCGTTTAACTGGGGTAGTGACTGTTTCTTCGCCACGTGTCCAGCATTAAAATTGAAAGCAAGGTTCTTTAAAACGTAGGACTCGTGTCATGGTAGGCGTTTGCACAATAAAGAACCCTCACTGCTCAGTGGCTCTTAGTGCCGAGTAAAGGTGTGAATTTGAAGTCTTTCATTGGTAAATGTATATAATGAGGCCTCGTACGAGTGCAACATTCTTGCAAAGTAATTAAAACAAGGAATATTAAATCAGTCAACCAGTTCCTGTTACATTTTTGAGAAATCATCGTCAGTGATTGATTCCGCTTATATCTGATCGATTACAAAGTAATAGTGCACATATATTTTGAAGAAATTGTGTTTTGCGAAGGGAGATTTCGTTCCATAATATGTGCGTTTAGCTAACCGTTTTCTTAAATTCTTTTTCCGATTATTTTTTTTCTTATTCTCAAAATGTATTCAGCAAGCCATGTGTTTTTTGACAATGAAAAAAAGATCAAAGTGAAATACGGGCCCATTTATTATGTACAAGTACACTTTATGGAACATGCCATTGTCTTTAATAGTTAAATGCATATAACCTATCTGGCAATGCTCTCCAGTCCATCCTGATACGCATGCGCCGTCACATGACCCGTTCACATGATTACAATCGGTAATGTTAAGACAGTGCTCACTACAGTTTTCCATGCACTTCTTCCCGAACGTTCCAGAAGGGCATCCTAAAAAACGATTAATGGATTTACCATTTTCTCACAATCTAAAATAAAATCCATAGTCACATTTGCTAGACATTTTACTTTAACAATAATATCACTTTATATGCGATTAAATGATGTAGTGATATTTCTTGCTTTTGCTTATTCACATAATAATTAATTATAAAACAAGCACATTTTCGATGCTTAAAATGATCACGTGATCCAATTTCAGTTACCATCTCACACATACCAAACTCTGTTTTGTTTTTCTTAATCATGTTTTAAGTCTCCTTTTTGTCTACATAGAAATGTTATGTATGTAATGTGGGGACTATTTGCATAATTTACCGAAAAGATATTTCAAATTTCAGTACAATATTATTCGGTTCAAGATGGATTTCATATTCATTATCATAAAACTGGAATGATATGGCTTAAATACATACATTACTAAGGTCAAACTTATTCGTGAAAGATCAAGAGATATTTGACACATTAGAAATGCGCTGCCAAAGGCATGTGTTTCATAAATGACCCTCGTTCAAATATTATCATAATGAAATAGCACTTTAAAGATTTACTCTATCTTTATATTGATTAATCAGTCAAAAAAATAATTAATAAAAAGTCACCTATATCACAGATGTCCCCCATCCATCCAGGGATACAGCCTTCAGTACAAAACCCTGACACCGTATCGCACTGACCAGCATCCAAGCAATGACCGCTACACCTCAGAGTGCACATATCCCCATAGTAACCACTTTCACAACCTTTTGATATTAACGAGAGTATTTTTGTTTAAATTCCAAAAATGTTCAAAATTTCTTAAGGAAAATGTTGGTCCCCTTTATTTTGCCTTTCCCTTTTGTTGCAAGTAGACGATAATATAACGGCATATAAAAAGAACAAAGTGTTTCACCTTAAATCAATTGTTTTGGAGAAATGTAACTGAACAAAATCGTTTGCAATTTTGATACAGGGATAATAACATTGTGCTAAAACAACCCTTTAAACAGTATAATTTTTTTGTACATTTCACATGATTTCGGAACTTCTTCGACACAGCTAATTGTGTAAGTATTTTGCAAAGAATAAAAAAAATAAGTCATGAAGGTATTTTTTGAATTCAATTCATACTGAAAGGAGTATTCTATGAGCAGAACACATTAATAATGGTCACATATTGGCGAAGTGATAAAAATCTACATGTAATGTCACGATTTTCTTGTCATCATATTTTTTAATTCAAAAAATAATCCATCGCATGTAAATTTATAGAAAAATTGCAGCAAAGCTTTCACACCTCAGTACTGATTAACCGAAATTCATGAAATGCATGATACATGTACCGGTCATGTCATTAAAAAAGTAAACAATGTCTGTTTTCTCATCATGATCTTTTTAAATATATAATATAGGCTAAAATGATTTAAGGTTTATATTTCAGTTATTATTTTCTTTTTCTATGCCCTTACTTTCGTTGCAGTATCTTCCATGCCATCCCTTTGCACACCCTGAGAAACAAGATCCATCTACATGAGAACAAGTGGCTCCTCCTGGACAGTGCCCACAATCTAAGGAACAACCTGGACCAAAATCTCCCTCTGGGCACTCTAGAAGTGTAAATTTACATGTACATAATATGCAAATTGACAATGTATTATAAAATTCATGAAAAACAGAAGAAATACAGATATATAGAAAGATCTTTCGAATGATAAGGTTTTGAAGCAAATATTGTAATAGACAATGTATGTACATAAAGGAGGAAAGAAAGCAACATATCATTACAATCACAACTACCATCTCCAACACGAACAGCAACTAAAATAAAGCAACAAATACGTCAACATCTTTAACAACTCCAAAAAAAGGTTGTATCAGTGAACTCTGAGCTGAAATATCCACTATGCATATAATATGATATGTTGCCAAACTAAGAATTTAAGAAACTATTTAAAGATAGGCTTGAATAAATACAACTCACTTTGATCGCAAACGTTTCCTAACCATCCATCTGTACAACCATTTGAGCAGAACCCATTGATATGGTTGCAATCTTTAGCATCTTTACAGTTGACACTGCATTGCTCCTTGCAATTTTTGCCATAATACCCAAAGCTGCACGCTAATATTAATATAAAACCTAGAGACAATATATTCCTGAATGGCTGGTCAAGGTAACTTGAAAATGAAATTATTGCTATGTATATGGGTTTCTTTCTACATATGAGAATGTTTATACGTGAGCACCAAAAGTTGGAAATTAGAGAACAAAAAGTAAAAAAATATTTCGTTGTGCATACAAATTTGTATAACTTATCATTAGGTATAGAGTTTGCAACTTTTTCTTAGATAATGTATGCATATGATAGAAGAGAAAATGAAAAATACGTTAAATAGAACTAATACAGAAAATCATAAAATCTGTTTGATTCATATAATTTTCTAGGTCACAAATTGCCCTGTACCTATGTTGCATCTACTTCCTACCCAACCATCTGCGCACCCATCTGAGCAACTTCCGCTGACATAATCACAAATGTTTCCATGAATGCAATAGCCACATTTTTGTTGACACTTTTCCCCGAAGTATTCCTCAGGGCAAGCTATGTAAAAAGGTAAAAGAATGTGAGTTTGCTTCACTAAATAGCAATAACCATAAAGGCGTATTAAATTATTTTATTTTCCGTAGAGTCTTTTCCAAGGAAGAGTTCATCAAACATGCCAGAAGGAAGAGAAGTCCCCACATTAGCCTTCAAGTGAGTACGGTGCACGTACATTCATTACAAAATTTCCCCAGCCATCCATCCTTGCAATCTCCTGGGCACTCCCCTGTGATGTGATTACAAGGGGCGTTGTCATAACAGTGGCCACATACTTTACCACACTCCTCGCCGAAGGACTTTCCTGTGCACTCTGAAACATGTGTGTTTAATCTTTTAAAGTGTATAGTATACTTTTTTTGTAATACAGTGTTTTCAAATTGAATCATATAAAGTCAGTCAGAGAGAAAAAAAAAATGCATTCACATTTCATTTAATTTGAAGGTACAAGTGTACTATGTTGATTAACCCTCAGATGGACTGACTATCACTTTTAATCATTTTTAATATAGTTTTAAGTAAGTCGCCCCGCTACTTATTCTGCATTGATAACAGATCATAGTACCAACACATTGTTTTTTTTAATGAGAAGTTCATACTTTGATTACATCTAGACCCCCTCCAACCAGCAAGGCACCCTCCAGTACATGATCCTGTCACGTGATCACACTCAGCGGAATCGAGGCAATGCGGGCTACACCTGTCTTTACACATAATACCATACGATCCTTTCGTACAAGCTAAACGGCAAAATACATAAAGGATAAAAGTTAGATGTTACGATATTGCACTAAAATCACTGTGGTTTGGTTTCACTGCATTACAAACATATAAGCATTGCGTACAATTATTGCAATTTTCTCCTATCCACCCCGATGCACATCCGTTTGGGCATGCGCCATGTACTTTGTCGCACAGTTCTTCATTATAACAATGGCCGCATTTGAGTTTGCATTCTGTTCCATACCAACCTCCATCACAACCTAGAATATATTTAAAGATACAAAACTGTCAGTAGTTGATTACCTTGATTGCTTTGCTTTAACTTATGTTCATTTCAATGAATTGAATTTTCCACTGATCTGTTTGGCCATTCCATGATTTTTTTTTCGGCTTAGCGTCCGCACCGGATTGGTTTTGGAATATGAAAATTAAAAGCAAAAGCATGAAAAAAAAATAGAATTACAAAATTCGATTCATTTCTACATCTTTTGGGATAGCAATATCTATCTTATTTTATATTCTTTTACAGTTTTGTGTCAAAGATTGGAATTTGTATTGACTATTATTTACTTCTATTACAATATAAAAAAAATACATCGAATGGAAAAAAATCATCGTTATCAAAATATTGTTTGTTTGTTTTTCTGTCAGTCTTTGTTTTTCATCTTGATGGAAAGATAAGCATTTTTGGGGGGGGAGGGGTGCTTTTTTTTTCTTCGGGGGATGCTAAACACATAAAAAAAACCTTGGAATGATATTACTGGACTCCAATGATGCAGAAGAATTAGTGAATTAAGTGGAAAAGAAATATTAACTTGCACTCTGATTTTCAGACAATAAAAAATAGATCTATTCCGTACAAAAATAATGCCTTGTAAAGAAAGTTGTTCCTGAATGACAAAGCAATGCATTGAAAGGTTTTTCATGTAAACATTTATAATCCATGGCTAAAGCAACGGATTGATGAATGTGTGCATCATAATTCTCTCTTTTCCATCTGAACAGTTAACACTTACACATTTCTTACAAAAACTTACTCTGTTCACAGCGATCACCTATCCATCCGTCCAAACAACCGAGATAACATTCCCCTGATTTACTGTCACAATTTGTTGGATCAAGGCAATGCGGACTACATTTATCCTTGCACATTACACCATAAGATCCTGCCTCACAAGCTGTAATTCAAAATTTAAAATGAATTCAATATCGAGGGATAGTCAATGAACACAAATGTTTGTAAAATACTTCTCTGCTGTTTCTGATGATACAGGTAATGTACAGTAATTAGGTTACACATTTGTTTTTTTTTGTTCTTTATGATAGATAAATAGCTGTAATTTACATTAATAAATTTTGTTTAACTAAAGTTTGTGAATTAGGGTAATTTAGAGGATCAACTTGCTTTCCCGACAGTCATTGCCCTTCCATCCAGCTGAACATCCGTCTGGACATGATCCATTAATAGGATTACAGACTTTATCATTCGAACACATCCCGCATATTTCTTCACAATTCTCTCCGAATGTTCCTTCTTCGCACTCTGAATGAATGGATTATGCAAGAAGGGTAATAAATGCCCTTCAAAAAACTTAAGTCATGATCCAGGTCATAACTAAAGCTCATAAAATCGTCAATTTTTTAACAAGCCAACCACATTTGTTTTTATTAATGAAGTGATGGTTGAAAAGAATAGAAAAAAAACCCGTCTTACTTTGTATACATTTCTCACCGATCCAACCATTTACGCAGCCTCCATCGCACTGACCGGTCACGTGATCACATGACAGAGGATCTAGACAATTCGGACTGCACTTGTCCTTACACATTATTCCAAAAAATCCCAAGTCACATTCTGAAATTACAAGTACATAAATAAATAATTTTATAATTTGCTTAAATAGGACCCGACACTGCAGCGAATGATTTTATGTACTTTTTTGAACATATAAAAATATTTTCTTGATAGAATATATACATGTAGTTGTGGTTGTAAGAAAACAAAGATAAATTTATTATAAAACTTTCGCAAATGAGATACTATACCAAATAATTTCGGTCAGTTCTTTAGAGGAGTAAATTTGTTAGTATTGTTTAATCAGTACGTGCTAAAGCTGATTTCATTTACTTTTATCGCATACAGATCCGGTCCATCCTGATGCGCATCCGCTAGAACAACTTCCGTTAAGATGGCTGCAAACCTCGTTATTAAAACAGTGTCCACAGGCGAACTTACACGCTTCTCCAAACATCCCCTCTGGACATGCTTTGGAGTAAAATAGAAATACATTAATAATCAACTGTCTGAAGTAGATAACCTATAATTGACACTATTTAACATTTTGGGCACAGTTCCTTTTTCGAGGAAGTATTACTATAAAACGCAATTATTCTTCTTTTCAGTAATAAAAAAACATTACTGTATGCGGGAATTTTCACTCGTTTACACTCTGTACTCGTGTTTGCTTTGAATAAAAGATTAAGTGCAAGAATATTTTCACATCCTCTATATATTTATAGTCTATTAAGTGTATGTATGCTCAAAACTACAATATTTATCGCTGCAAAATGCTGAAAAATAGTGATGAAATATTTTTATGATATAAATTTCTTACGGAAGCTTATCTGTGTTAAAATTGTGAGATTGAATACGTTCAGCACTTGTTAACTCGTTCATGAAATTATTCGTTCTAATTTAATTTTATATCATTTCTTTCAAAGACATCGTAAAAATAATCTTTTATACCACTGCTTCTTTTACAGATGAAAATAATTATTTGAAATAAAAAATTTTAAAAGATAGTTTTTTCAAAGATGGTTTTAGCATGAATGCCCTTATAAGATTCCATACTTTTCGTATCATTTATCAACAGGGAAAATTAAAGTAAAAGTTGTGGATTACTGCTGCACGTGAGTTTAAATTCCTATGCATGTTCAAAAGATGTCACCTCCATGAAACCAAGCTATGAAGTTCTCCCTTTTTGAAAAAAATAATAATATAACTTATAAAGGAAATATTCACATCCGTTTGAAGAATACTCTTGATGTCGTACGATTAAATCTCATCTTACTCCTGTTTGCAGCACCGAATTTTTTTTGTCAGCGAGGTTGGTTTGATAAAGTTTAAACACATCACATGGTATTTTTCATGCACTTTTTATTTAATAAACGGATTCGGGGCATTATTTTAAAAATATGACGAAAATTCCCGTATACAGTAATGTTTTTCAGTACTGAAAAGAGGAATAATCCCGTTTTGTTGTAATACTTCCTCGAAAAAATAACTGTGTCTAATCTGTTTAAAGAAATGGGTATGTAAAACTTATTTTGTAAAGTTTTTTTTTTTATTGAACTTTCATCATAACATGCCTAAACCCATAACACAGTATCCCGTTAAACTGTGCTGTTTGGTTCAGACTTTGCGCCAGAGCAAGTTTGAGCAATGAAAACTAAGATATATTTTGTACCAGTATATTTAATGCATAGCGTTCAAGATTGTCCTTATGTTAACGCAATGTTTGTCAGCAATACAGAATGTCTGAACTATTGTGAAAATGTCCTTTATTTTAAATAAAGAAGACTTGGCTTAGAGAAAATGTGAATTCTTGATAATTTTACCATTTCTACATTTGGGACCAATCCATCCATCCTTACAGCCCCCAACACATGATCCATTGACGTGGTCACACGACATGGGGTCCACACAATGTTCACTGCATCCATCCTTACACATTAATCCAAAGTATCCGATGTCACATTCTACAGAAATGAACAAATTCACATATATATAAAAAAAAAAACTTAAACGCATTTATGCATGCAACCAGAAAGATGAGACTTTTTTTACCATAATCATTGACAAAAACTAAGTTACGTTTACTCTATGGTAGATCTCATGTTGTAAAAACTTAAGAGATGAATTTATCTTTTGAGAATTCATGAGGGCATGAACTACGACACTTCACGTCGGCAAATTTCATGAAGCGGGTTAGTGCTTCATGAAATATGTGCAGGCGTGAAGCGTTGTAGTCTCATATTTTTGTCTTTTAACGATCATTTCTGAAAAAAAAAGTTTGCACTATTCCTTTACTTAAATCACATCACAATAGAAATATTCTTACTCATCCCACGCTAGTTAATGAGAACGTGAACTTTTTCTTATTTGCAAAGAATTTTAAGGACAATATTTGGAAATGTAAATATAAAGCAACTAACTTGAGCTCTCCTCTCTCTCTCTCTCTTTCTCTCTCTCTCGATATATTTAATTAGTAGAATCTAATACAAAACTTACTTTGGTCACAAATATCGCCGGTCCATCCCGGAGCACAGCCACTTAAACACGTGCCGTTCACGTGACTACAGACTTCACCATTAAAACAATGACCACAGGTCATCTGACAGTTACTGCCAAATGTTAACTCTTCACATTCTGTAGTTCATAATAAACAAGTGAAGTTCCACTGTATGTACATAGAATGTTGGTTAGTTTCGAAATAGAATGTTTACAAAACAACGAAGAAATACAGATTAAATGAAAGTAATTGTTTTTGAAGACAGGTGGAAAATAAAAGCTTATTAAGATATCTATGGCCTTTATACAAAAAGTAGTACTTCTCTCTATTTTTAAAATAAATGTGGATTATATATACTCACGATCCCGGCACCTGGATCCAATCCAGCCATCCTTACAACCTCCAACACATGATCCATTCACGTGATCACATGACACTGAATCCAGGCAATGTGGACTACACTGATCCTTACACATCATTCCAAAAAATCCAGGTTCACACTCTTACAAATAATAACACGATAGACTGCTTATCATTTTAACAAAACTGAATTTAAGCGACCAATAAACAACACTTTAAGCCCCTAATATCCAAAGGAAGGAATTAAGACGCCAAAAACCAAACCTAAAAATTAGCTTGTTTAACGGGAATAATAACTTCTCAAGTGCATATTCTACATCTCTGATTTACCTTGATCACAAATATCCCTTTTCCACCCGGATGCACACCCATTAGGACAAACTCCAGTCACGTGATTACAAACTTCATCCTCTGTGCAATGTCCACAGTGATTTTGACAATCCTTTCCGTACATAAACTTCTCACATTCTGTCAATACAAGTAAAACTGAATGGCTTCTAGATCTCTTTTATGAAAGAAATATGTATATATGTCGATGCAGGACACTAACTGAATTAGAATATTTCAAAACTCATGAACAGTCCTTTATATATGTTGAACTCCAAAAGAACAAAACGAACTGATGAAAAGTATTCCCAAATTACTCTGTTGGCAAAATATAATATAGTGATAAATATATTTTTGAACAATTTACATCTTTCTCCCTCAAATTGAAAAAGGTTCAAGTCTTATGTAGAATGACTTGATAACATTGAAAAAAAGAGAATGTAGCTAAATACATGCATTAAGTTTTAAAATCGCTTTATGACATGTTGAGATAAACCTTAACTGCTTAAAGTAGTGGCTAGTGAAAGAACAAGACGTACGTTCGATGCATTTGGAGCCGATCCACCCATCCTTACATCCACCATCACATGACCCGTTCACATGGTCACATGACGTGGGATCAATACAATGCTCACTACATGTATCCTCACACATTAGACCAAAAAAGCCAGACTCACATTCTGGAAAAAAATTACTTTAGGCCAACTTTAAAATAATGTTTATTTGCCTTCTCCCTCTCTCAGGATGAAAAAAAAATGGGTCGGTAGATAGCTGAGATTGTCTTTCTCTCTGAAAATTTCAATTCCAATGCTGAATTTTCAAAATCTACTTTCCAGAACGCATTAAAAAATTGATTCCTGGAGGTTAACAATATTTTGAGCCGGGCCTTTTATAGCCAGTAGGTCGGGAGAGGGCAACCAAACAATTTTTTAAAGGTGGCCTTATCAAGAATTATTTCTTTTTAGGCTATTTTTCGTGAGGAAGTAATTTCTTTGTTTTGTAAATGACTTTGCCAACGTTACATGTATGTCCTCAGCTATACAGATAAACATTATAAACATGCATGGGATTAAAAAAAAACCTGGCTATTTAAATGACGACATAACCTTTGTCACAGACATCCCCTTTCCATCCAAGCGCACATCCGTTCGAACATTCGCCAGTCACGTGATTACAGATTTCACGATTTACACAATGTCCACATGAATACTGACATTTTTCTCCATATTTCAGTGCTTTACATTCTGTTAATAAAAAAATCAACATTCTAAAAATAACAAGAGGCCCAATGGCCTTAACGGTCACCTGAGTATAATATAACAATTTAGAAGTTAAATACACTGATAGATGAAGCATTGTTGCCCTAAAGCAAGAAAAGTAGGAAGAACAGGATCAACAAAATAATTAGTCTAGTATTCACTATCAACTCATAAATTAAGTTCTACATGTAATCTGTCCCCCACTTAACACTATCACCATGCAGACTATTAATTAAGTTCTACATGTAATCTGTCCCCCACTTAACACTATCACCATGCAGACTATTAATAAACTATTAGTGCTTCTGTACTATTTTTAAACCCATATTAAGACCTCTAGCATTGACCTCTCTTATGCTCTTTGAAGAACTTTTAATAAGATAAGTTATTTTACTCTCATTTTTATTTATCTATTACTTACAGGTCTACCTGATTATTAAAACTAAGAAAGTACTCTTTTAATTATTATACGATAAACATTCTTGCATAATTATCTTATTCTATTAACCTTTCAAATACATTATTAACAGTGATTAATTATCAACGGTGAATGGAAAAGGGGAATAACTTCTCTCAGTAGAATACATAGAGGATATTCAATGTTTTGTAGATGAATATGGAATTTATTTCACGAGTGGGACAGGATTTTTTGATATTTTCACGAGTGCGAAGCACGAGTGAAAATATCAAAAAATCCTGTCTCACGAGTGAAATAAATTCCATATTCATCTACAAAACATTGAATTTTCTGTTTATTACATTTTATTTGATTTTCCCTTTGCCACTGTCTTTTCTTAACACAGTGTCATAGGCTTGACGTCATAGTTGAGAGGTTGAGACGTCATAGCTTAGCAGTTATGTGATTGAAAACATTACATAGCATGGATTTCAACAACATATTTGGGAAGAAATTTGCAGTTTTAGCTCTATCAAGATGCTTAGTTACTATCTCTATCTTATGACAGGCCAGAAATAATTTTTTACTTACTTTGATATCCTTTCACACTGTGAGAGAATATCATTTTGGTATCCTTTCACACTGTGAGAGAATATCACTTTTATTCAATAAATAAATCACAGTATTTCACTGTTGAAAATGTAATAAAAATTAATAGAGCCCTGCCCAGGACCAGAATGCTTAGACGAATGGTCCAGATGTTTAAAAATCTGGTAGAAATACGCTTACTCATATCATTTAAACTTTTACTCAGTTTGCTTCCAATATACCCAGAAGCAGAGAAGAATTTCACAGGTACAATGCATTTTCACTACAGATTCAACAAAGCCTTACCCTAACACCAGAACCCAAGACCAAGGGACAAGAAATTTACAATAATTAACACTTTTCTACCATATTATCAAAAGCCCCCCCCCCCCTCGTTATGCCAGAACCCCTGACCCTAGGACCACAAGATTAGATTCAAAAATTCTGTTCGAAGCTCCCATTTTCATCATAGCTAAACAATTTATTTATCAGCTCAACACTAAGGAGCAGACAGGATTAATTAATGATTAATTAATAGAATTAATGCTTTTTCACTATATAATCAATAGAGCCCCACCCCCCCCCCCCTCCTCAAGAACCCCCAAAACTGAGGCCACATATTTAAAAATTTTGGAAGAGGCATCCTTGCCTATCATAATCATGCACTTAGTTTGTTTAAATAATCTCCAGTAGCAGAGAAGAAGATTTTCAAAGAATCAATGCATTTTCACTATATAATCAATAGAGCCCCGCCCTAACACCAGAACCCCTGACCCTGGGGCCATGAAATTCACAATTTTGGAAAAGGCATCCTTATGCATCATAACCATGCACTCAGTTTGTTTAAATAGTCTCCAATAGCAGAGAAGAAGATTTCCAAAGAATCAATGCATTTTCACTATATAATCAATAGAGCGTTTGAAAAGGCATCCTTATGCATCATAACCATGCACTTAGTTTGTTTAAATAGTCTCCAGTAGCAGAGAAGAAGATTTTCAAAGAATCAATGCATTTTCACTATATAATCAATAGAGCCCCGCCCTAACACCAGAATCCCTGACCCTGGGGCCATGAAATTCACAATTTTTGAAAAGGCATCCTTATGCATCATAATCATGCATTTAGTTTATTTAAATAATACCCAGGAGCAGAGAAGAAGATTTTCAAAGAATTAAAGCATTTTCACTGTATAATCAATAGAGCCCCGCCCTAACACCAGAACTCCTGACCCAGGGGCCATGGCTTTCACAATTCTGGAAGAGGCCCACGTCCTCATCATAACTATGTTCTTAGTTTATCACCTTAATGCCCAGGAGCAGAGGAGAAGATTTTCAAAGAATTAATGCATCTTCACTATATAGTTGATAGAGCCCTGCCCTAACACCAGAACCCCTGACCCTGGGGCCATGAAATTCACAATTTTGGAAGAGGTACTCTTGCTCATCATAACTATGTACTTGGTTACTTTATTAAATATCCAGATGCAGAGAAGAAGATTTTCAAAGAATTAATGCATTTTCACTATATAATCAATAGAGCCCCGCCCTAACACCAGAACCCCTGACCCTGGGGCCATGAAATTCACAATTTTTGAAAAGGCACGTTTGCTCATCATAACTATGAACTTAGTTACTTTATTTAATACCCAGGACCAAAGAAGAAGATTTTCAAAGAATTAATGTATTTTCACTATATAATCTATAGAGCCCCGCCCTAACACCAGAACCCCTGACCCTGGGGCCATGAATTTCACAATTTTGGAAGAGGCACTCTTGCTCATCATAACTATGTACTTAGTTCCTTTATTTAATACTCAGGAGCAGAGAAGAAGATTTTCAAACAATTAATGCATTTTCACTATATAATCAATAGAGCCCCGCCCTAACACCAGAACCCCTGACCCTGGGGCCATGAATTTCACAATTGTGGAAGAGGCACTCTTACTCATCATAACTATATACTTAGTAACTTTATTTAATACCCAGGAGCAGAGAAGAAGATTTTCAAAGAAATAATGCACTTTCACTATATGATCTATATAGCCCCACCCTAGCACCAGAACCCCTGACCCTGGGGCCATGAATTTCACAATTTTGGTAGAGTGCTCAATACTTATTACAATGATGCCAACAGTTTGACTGCTTGATGTCCAGGAGTAAAGAAGAAGATTTTTAAAGATTGCATTATTTTTGGTGGTTTTAGCCCCACTCCTCAGGCCCCAGGGGAGCAGGGACCATGAAATTCACAATTTTTGTTCCCCTTTACCCATAGATGCTATATACCAAATTTGGTTGAAATTGGTTGAGCGGTTCTAGAGAAGAAGTTAAAAATGTTCAAAAGTCAACGCACGACGGACGACGCACGACGACGGACAGATAGCAATAGGTCACCTGAGTGACTCAGGTGACCTAAAAAGAGATGCAATCTGCCGATCCAAAATTGTTCGACATTTTAAGCATCAACATACATCCTCCACTTTAAAAATGTATCCCAAATGCATGTATGTGCAAACATCATTGAGTCGTTAATGCGTATTTATCAACCATCCCGCAAAATAAGTCATCTTACCTTTGTCACACTTTTCGCCTTCCCAGCCGTCCTTACAACTCTCTGCGCAGTTTCCGGTTACGTGATCACATGACATTGGGTTCGTACAATGTATGCTACAGGATTCCGTACACTTTAACCCATAAAATCCCGCATTGCAAGCTACATTACAATTAAATGATGAAAAAAGAATCTTAAATAGCTAATTTCCAGATTTCAAGACTGTAATATAACGTATGGTTGAGGACTTAACAGGCAGATGAACAATGGATTAAAGAAAATAGTTCCGTACTTTCATTGCAGTAAAATCCTTTCCAACCCTGTGAACATCCTTTTGCACATGCGCCATCAATAAAATTACATGGCTCTTCATACAGGCAGTTTCCACATGTAAGACTACAATTTTTCCCGAACTGTCCTTTGGTACATTCTAAATAATGAGTGATATAAAAAAGAATATCTAATACCGAAATTATTTAACTTCATAATTACATGTATATTGATCATAAGCAATATGCCGAGAAATATACCCTCTTTCTGAGAGGAAGTTATAAAATATTAAACATTTTTTAAAAGTATGCGGAGATTAAATGATCAAAATAAAATTTTACCAGTTTCACATCGCTGTCCTATATAACCATCCTTACATGCAAAACAGTTGCCATTTTTAATATCACAGCGGTCAAGGTCACAGTTAATAGGACATTTTCTTTTGCAGTCGGGGGCATATTGACCACTAGGACAGCCTGTCAATAAATAAATAAATAAATAAATAAATAAATAAATTAAATAAATAAATAAATAAATAGGATGTGAAAAATTGCATTACAAACTCAGGGGTAATCTGTGTATGTAAGCTCATGATTCATACGGCATTGGTTATGTGTTTCGTTGTTTCTGTATTTTAAAATCAAAATACCTTGCGTTGCCTCATGATTTTGTTTTTATTTTCCCAATAAACTTATAAACTTTTCTTAGGATTTACTAAATTTTATTATGCGTTACATTTGACGCCTTTTTGTTAATTTGCAAATCAAGGTTGTTTTTTTTTTTAGCTTTACTCCATTAGCAAAAATGTGAAGCTATAATATTCATAAACACAAGATCTGGTGGCCTTGTCTTCCTGTACTAAACCCATCGGTTAGAAAAGAAAAGAAAACAGCATAACCACATATAAGCATACCTTTTTTACTCACCAAACACTTCTAATTCACAAAGCTGAACGTAGGCAAATTTTGAATAAGTGAGTGGGTAAACTTCCGAGGTGTTCCGTTCATTGTAAAACGTCACATACCGTCCATGATTTGGGCACGTGACGTTCATGACACTAGGGGGCGCTGTTATGTCAGTGTAATGGAAGCATTTGTGACCCCTCCACCAATCTTTACTGTTGGATACGAAGATTTGAAATCCCGCCATGGTACTCCCAACTAAATATTCAACATTTTTTTTAGGTATATACATGTACATGTATTATCTAAAGCAGTTGATTGTTAATATGTGCATATAAATTTGTTACAGTGTATAAACTATACAATCTTGTTGCGTTTGAAAATGAAGTGTTTAAAGCAACCGCTAATGATAAAACGCCACTTAATGATAGAGATATCATTAAGCGCTGCATATTGCAACGCTTAATGTCATAAATTATTGCATTAATAGTTGACATTCTCAAACGGTAATGCTAAATCGCAATTTAATGAAACAATTATATCATTAAGCGGTTGAGAATGTCAACTATTAATGCAATAATTTATGACATTAAGCATTGCATTGCAACACTTAGATCTAATGATATTTCTATCACTAAGCGGTGTTTTATTATTAGCGGTTGCTCCAAGGGTTACTTGTAAAACATAAGGCTAAGTATTTTCACAATCATGTAGGAAACCATCTCTGTTGATAAATAAACTTATTTATTTCCGATACATGTGTGCATGTGTATGTTTATAAAGGGAGGTGTGAATTTCTCTCCTCCGTATTGTGTTACAGTACACTAATAATTGTTTACTGATAATTACTTTTTTTACCATTTTTAGCAGATGTTTTGTTTGTTTATTATTTTTAGTTTTTATCATTATCATTTTTATTATTATTATTATTATTAGTTTCTACATGTTGAAATTAATTGTGTGAAATATAATGATCTTGTATTTCACCTCAGGGAGTTTTTTTATTCGATAGATACATTTTTCATTCTTTAATAAGATCATGGCATTGAAATTTCTTTCTCAAAGTAAAAGAACTAAATATTTTCTGACAATTTGATTTCGTCAATGCATTAACAGTATCTTTTATGCTGCGTATTCATGTGTATATTTAAATTTTTAAAGTAGAGAAAAAAGCTAAGGAATACCCGCGAAAAGTTGACAAACTATTGCCTACCCCGATTCTGTATTTGAAAACATCTGGCCATTGATGACAAGCAAACATTAAATTTTCCGATGATGTATTTATTAGTGAATCTAAATAGCAACGCTTTCTTTACGGGGCTTAAAATTAGTTTTTGATACATCCCTACTGTCAACATGTTACCTACCTGAACATTCAACGCCGACATCCTCATTGTGCCTACAATTTGGTGGTTCTCTAAAAGCATTCTTACAAGTAGTGAGGTCAATTTCTTCACCAGTGCAATCTAGGTCATCTAGCCATATTGGACCTCTACCAGCTCCAAAGTAAGCCTCCTCCCGGACTTTTACATTATCTCTTTCATAAAAAAGGAAACGATAGCGGGTTTATATAAGAATGTACTCAATTTGTGTGAATCGACATGTAATCTTTCATCCATGTTAATTCAAAATTAGCTGAGAGGCTATACAAGCATCTTCGGGCTGTGCAGCATTGATGTCAAGACTCAATAAACTCAGCTTCAAACAAACAAAAAATCTTTAAAGGTCCGAAAAACACCGATATCGTGGTCCTTCATGAAAAACTCTCTCTCTGATTTATATAGAAGTAAATAATTAAATGCCGAAAAACATCAACGCTACAACGTTGAAATATTTTGCAGTTTGTGGTATTAATTTTGTACAATTTTGTATAATTGTATAAAATGAAACTTTAAGAAAGCACAAGATGACCTTATATCTGCATGTCATGTGATCAAAAATGGCGGCGCCCATAAATTGGATCATGGCGATATATGCGTGCTCAGAAACTTACGGTAAGTAACCCGCCATAACACACGCTACCGCTCCATCCTTGGCGTGAAACATATCATCACACACTGTTCCCCATATATTTTGGTGTACAAACTCAATTCTTCCACTGCCCTCTGATCTACCTCCTACGAGGCGAACCCTTGCTTCCATATCCGTCAGTTCTGGAAAATAAAGTAATTAAATAATTACAGGTATCGATTACAACATGTATATTGCTATTTATATGCAATTTCATTTTGTGTGTGTGTGTGTGTGTTTACTTTGAAACATATACATGTAGGCTCGTTTTTTTTTTTTTTAATTTATTTTGCAATGACCATTCACTGTACATGGTTGTAACTTCATTTCATTTCGTGCCAAGATCTTTGTAAGTAAACATATTTGTGTCTTTTACAGAAATTAACAGACTTTTCTGATAGTTGATCCGTATGTAGGATAAACTTTGTTCCGCTCCCAGATCGACCTGCCACCATGCTTGGCGCTGACCGGAATCGGATAGGATACAATCAGGAGTGCGCAGTCCCTTGTTTCCGTCCACTGCTCTGGAACTCAAATCTTTGGATTTTTGGAATTGTGAGCTCATCACCGTGTTCTTTTTAAGAGCAAGATTGACTGCAAATTATATAGTATGCTTGATTTATGTTTGGAAAGTGTTTATTATAAAGCCCAATTGGATTCTTTACATATATACCTTTCATTCATTAATGAACTTCAAGAATATATCTTCATCTAAAAACAAATCATCTTATTCTTAAAACGAAGTGGAAAACATGATTGAAAAAAAATACGTTTCTGCTTTTAGGTCATGCAGAATTTGGGAAAGAAATATTAAAAGAGAGAGAGAGAGAGAGAGAGAGAGAGAGAAACTCACTGTAGCACAGAAGAGGGCTTATTTCAGTGAGGGCGATGATGACCGGTATCAAAGTCTTCCATTTTGTCATATTTCTCCTTGCTGCAGAAAAAGCTTGGAAACTTATTTGCTCCCGTACGGAACATAAATACTGCCATGATGTTCAGTTTTAGTATAATGCAAGTAAGGGAGATTGACAATAATAGTACACAGAGTCAGTCAGTCAAGTAAGTTTAAATTATAATTTACTATATGTGAATTTTATCAATAATATACCTTATTACCATTCATATCTCTTTTAAAATACTTTTTATTTACGATATAAAATTCTGATAAGAGTTTTGTAAGGAACTTAGTCTGATATTAATGATTTTATTGAGAGAAGAGAGATAACTGCCACAGTGTTAAAATTACTGTAACGGTTTCCTTTTAACTTTTGATAAAACTAGATGAAATCCCGCGCAAGCGCGGGTAATTGAATTTATACCACTACCGACAAAAAATATATTGTAGTTTCTACTGATACAGGCTTATAGCAGGAAGAAATACAATGTTCAAAATCCCGCATGTGCGTCTCCAATCCACCCCACCCCCTTTTGTAAAAACTTGAAAAAAAATAACAATTTCATTAATTGATGTTTATTGTGAAACCTGTTATACTATGTTATGGATATTGTACTTCAGGGCCCCGTTTTACAAAAGAACTTACGAATAAGACCAAAATGTAATTTCGGAAATAACTTTCTTTTTTATATTAATTTGAAAATGGTTTTATTATTTTTAAAATTAATTCAGAAAGATATATTTATACATGCAATTTTTAACATAATCGTTTATTTAGCAAGATTTTATAATCAACTCAAGTTTTTGGTCTTAGTCGTATGTTCTTTTGTAAAACGGACTCCTTATGCTCTTATTTCATTTCCGTCAAGGATAACAGCAGCGAATATGCACATTTTACTGATAAATTGATTGTTTTGTTTTTTGGGGGGAGGGGGGGGGTAAAAATTCACAGGTACTTGGGTCTTGATTTATAAATATTGTACCTTATTGATATGTAAAAAAAATGTACTTTACCTTTTTTACATATCAATAAGTTACATACATATATATAAACCAAGACGCAAGTACCTGTGTAAAAATTAGCTTTTAACGCCCTATGAATAGGCCGAGTATTTGATACAAAAGACTGTATTCAGGGAAAAAACCTGAAATGTTTATTTCTTAAATTTATTAAGAAAACCTACTTCATATATGTAATAGTCTTTAGATATATAAATAAATTCACAACTTATAGCGTTATCAATGATTTACCGGACCATTATTTCAATGACCATTCACACATAAGCTTTTTTTATGTCCCCGCAGCTATAATCGTCTCGTTTTTCTTTTTAACATTGGGCTCGATGCTATATGATGTTCTAGAAGCTTCCGTCAATATTAAGATCGGCGAATGACAAAAATAATTTGCACAATTCCCTTTTTAATCGGTTATCACAACTTATTTCTTTTATGCCATTTAAATCAAGTTTTGATCGAATAATTCAGTGATGACGTTTTATGAAATAAATAAACGATTGATTGTTGTCAGTCGCATTGAAAATTGCCAGAGACTTAGATCCGCCAACCGGAAATGCCACCGTACTCACGTTTTTGCTATTTCATGGCTGTTTATAGAAAATAAAAGTAGACTTTTAATTTGATGTACGATACTTACAATGCGAGTGAAATCTAAATATAGTTTACGGACATCATATTGTATCTAGTGTATTCTTAGAGGAGTAAGTAAAAACTCTGGTGCATCCGTTTCGGAGTTTATTTGCAAAATTTATTAATTTATAAGTATAGATGTTGCAAGGTGTGGCATATCTATTTTCGTAGATTTCATCCTTTTTTTCGAATTATCGAGTATCATACTTACAGGAAAACTTAATTTTGTGGATAAATACAAACAAAGGTTGTTTGTAAAAGATGTTGTATCATACGTTGAATAGTGGATCAGATACATATTAATAGCCATTCTCTGTAAGCATTTAAACTCTTATATAGGGAGTGTGGCACGCTAGGTCTTAGATTTTTATGAAACTTGGCACACATTTCTATAATGATGTATGAAACTAAAATTCATAATAAAATGGTTGCTATGGTCAATGGTTACCATGGCAACCAACATACATTTTTCATGGCCTAAAAAATGCTAAATTTTGATGAAAAATGACCATTTTTGACTAATTAAAAGTCTTTAATACAACAAGATATTTACATGTCTTTATCTTTTTGTCAAAATACATCATTTTTATAGTTCTTTAGATAATTTCTAGTATTTGAGTAACTTAACCTCATAGAAAAAATATCCCCCCTTTTTAAGTATGATTTTTCTAAGGAAAAATTGTAGATTTTAGGCTCTTTTGAAAAGCCTGGTATAAATTTTTGCGGACATATTGGAAAAAATAAATACATTGGTTTGAAAGTCCATATATAGTTGTAATATAAACCATAAAGAACCACTTGGTATTCATATCTTGTTTTCATGTTACCATGGTTACAAACTAATGCTTTTTTAAAGAATTCCAGACAAGGGCAATAGGTATCTACTATCAGTTTCCATATAAATACCTGAGTATTTTAAAATGGATTAAAACCAAATTTGTACATATAGTACACAATAGCAAAAACAAAGAAAAAAAATCAATTTTCATAACAAAAGGTCAAAGTTCAAGGTCAAAATGGCTCGATTTAGATGGAGAAGTAAGGAAACTAAGCACATTTTTTCAATGCCATAACTAATACTTGTGTTTTAAACAACATAATTATGAATAAACAAAATTACAGTTCTGGTGGACAATACATGTAACTAGCATCACATGAATTGGTAAATACGGACAGAAGGTCAAAGTTCAAGGACACAATGGTATATAAAATTTGCCTTTTTGTCCCCTACTTTCACTTAAAGTGGGGGATATTTATTTAGGTCTGTCTGACGTCCATCCGTCTGTCAGTCTGTCTTTCTTTCTGCAACACTTTCGTTTCTGCACGATGTCTCGTGAAGCTTTTGAGCCTTTGCAATGAAAGTTTATATAACAACTCCCTGTGGCCTAAGGAAGACCCCCATTGATTTTAAGGTCAAAGGTAAAGGTCATGAATTCATAAATTCTGTCTGTTTTAACACTTTATTTCCGCGCAATATCTCAAAAACTTCGAGGTTTTGCTATGAAATTTTACACTGAAACTCCCTATGGCCTAAAGAAGACCACTATTGATTTCGAGTTCAAAAGGTCAAAGGTCAAGGTCAAAAATTAATACATTCTGTTTGTGTGTAAAACTTTCATTTCCGTGCGATATCTCAAGAAGCTTTTAAGCTTTTGCAATGAAATTTTATATCATAACTCCCTTTGGTCCCGCCCGCAACTCTTTAAAGTATCCCGTCCCCCCAACCCCACCATCCTCCGACCCCACCCCTCAAGATCCGTACATGCTCTTTTTTTCTTAAGCAGGGGACACAGCTTCTCTGAATTAGCTTGTTAGTATAGCATTTAAACTCGGATATTGTGAATGTCGTATCCTGCTTTATATACCATGCATTTTACTGAAACTGGTTTAACATTCTCACCTTTAGCTTGATGCATAATGTTAAAATGCTATGAGAATGGTTTCGTTTATTGAAAAAAAAAGTAGCCACTCAAAATATTGAAAGCCTATACACGTACCATATTGAGTGACTTGTACGTAGAGCATTGTGCTACGTGCATGTAAATACACTCTTTAGTTGTTTTGGTAGACTAAGTCCTTGTTCTAAAATGTACATTTTTAGACCCTATTCAACACTCCACACTTTTCCAGTGACAGTGAGAATGTGTTTTCCTGTGACTTTTTTTTCAGAGAAGTTGACAGAAAAAGCCTAAATCCATTTTACTTTGCAATACAGTAAAAATCTATCATGTATTATTCTTAAAAACTTGAAAATTAAGAGACATTAAGATGATAAATATTTTAACCCAAATATGCCTGGATTTACGTAATGGATCTGCTACTTCCAAAATTTAATCAATAATAATCTTTTGTAAAAATCTGCTGGACCTGCTCAGATAATCTGATTTTGTGTTTTCTCGAATTTATGTTGGTTGCTAAGTTTGAGTTGGTTGGTAAGCTTGATAGAATCGTACACCTTATGGTTTGTATTGTAAACATAATTTCTAAACTTGAGTCCTTGAAAATATTGAAAATAATCTGTCCCTGCCTCCTTCCTACGGTTTTCATTTTTTAAAATGAACATGATAAAGTAACCAATGACCAGGACTTACTCCATCCCTTCCAGGAACAATGTAAAAGCACTTACTCCAAATAAATGGGTAAGAGGCATTTGTAAGAAAAACACAGATCCCTTGTGAAACATTAAGAAGCGTTATATATGAATATGAAAGAAAGCGGTTCATTCATAAGTGATTAACCCCAACCCGCCCCCATTCCCGAGTATAGATTTTTTGTGTTTAATTTTATGATTTTTTTCTTTTGGTAGAAAGGGGTGGGGTGGGGGTGGGGGGCTTGTCAGAAATTTATTTATGTTTTCATTATTAATAAAATACAGCTACACAGATTTACTATTAATTTTACTGCTAAAAGGTTCAATCTACATTTATCTTAGTCTAGAGAAATGATAAACTTGATACAAATGATAACTTTAAATATGATTCAGACAATTTGTATTTCTATGCAAACACCCCCCCTTTTTTTTT